TTGCTAAGCCACACGTGTAAGCAAGCGGGGCTGGCAGGAGTGCCTCAGCTCGGCTGGCTGTGCTGCCTGACTCATCCGCGTGCGCTCGGGAAAGCTGCTGCGCCGGCGCTGCCTCAGTCCTCGCCCTTTTTGATGAAAGATGAAAGCCCTCTCTTACTCAAGATGAAAGCTCTTTCCCCGGCTTGTTTCAGACAGAACCGTCTATTCTGGCAGCCACCTTATGCTGCCATCAGGCAGAAGAGAAACCTTAGTGAAAAAGATAAAAGGGCTCAACTGGTCCCAGTTCATTATCTTTACCGCAGGGACCATCTCTTCTCCCAAGTACAATGCTCCCCTTGGAAAGAGTCATTTCCCTGAGCAGCTTTGCCAGCCATAGCAGCCTCTTCTGTATTCCCCTACCCGTGTGCCTACCACGCTTGCTTTCCCTCTGAGCCTTTGACCAACCTCTGCTTCAGCTCAGCTGCACTGACAGTGCGGAGATCAGTTCAGCCCATAACGCTCAGCTGAGCTCCCACTCTCAGGAGGCAGGAGCCGAGTACCAGGCTCCTCCTGGCCCCGAGATGCAATGCCCAGACCTAAACCTTCTCCTTAGCACTGCGCCCACCCTCTGCCTCCTCCAGGGCCAGAAGACATTCAGGTAGCAACTTGCTGCTTTGCTGAGAAGATGTTTGGCTATTGGCTATTTCTAAGTTCCTTTAGTGCTCTCGGACATCCACCTCCACATGCTTAGCCCAGCACAGTGAACTTTCAAAAACCCACTGTGAAGCTCCTTCCCCAGTTAGATCCAGATAAGCTGAGGAACACAAGCAACCGAGCTCTGAAACAGCAGATCACATTTGAGTAAGAGGAAAGAGTTGAGCACAAGTTAATTGCTCTGAGATATCTCCTTAGGTTTACAGTTCCCCAAAATGCCCACCCTCTTGGGAAAACTGCACAACATCTGTGCATGCTGCCATTTTTGGAAGTTCCATGACCAGCAGAGCAGAGACACACACTAAGAATTTATGAGTCAAGTTGATTTTAGTCACACCCAGGAGACCTTGAGGGAGTTGAAAGCTGAAGGCAGGGTTTCGCTGTGGTCTTATTGTATAATTAGGACCTTCCAGAAAAAAAAGAGCACAACTGGGGAAGGCTGCTAGCAGACCATGAGGTGGTGGTTCTCCTCTCCTGATTAGAGCCAAAGCCATGAGCTATGGGTGGACCATGCAGCGTTGGAAGTGAAGGCCAGGCTGGGATACACCTACCCTGCTGATCATTGTCCGTCCTCTCCTTTGACCAGGAGCTGAGAAAGGGAACACTAGAGAGCCATCAGACAGAAGGTCTGTAGCCTTGTTTTCCCCTTTTCCAGTAATTTCTAGGTCAGTAAGAACAAAGTCACAAATTGCAAGTGTTTCCTTTCATGCCTAGATCTCAACACTGCAGCATTTCACAGGGTCCTGAGCCAGGATGACTGGAGCTGATGCTATTAGACAAGGGTGGAAAATTGATCTCTTCCTAGCAAGATTTAGAGGCCAGTTGGACAGGAAATTACTCCAGCTGGGCACTCTGTCCCCATCTCTCAGCTCTTCCTGCAGCTAGGAGATTCACTCTATAATTGCTTTCTTAGTCCACATTTTATCCTCAGCTGACAGAATTCCATTAGGGTGATACAAGCTGCGTGATAAAGGGATGTTTGTGTCTCACATGGGCTGTAAGTCATTTCTCAGCAAACAAGCAAATAGTCACAGAAATGGGCAAAGAGACCACGGAGCCAGGAGCCCTCCTTCTTGTGCTCTGAACACCAGGACCTCAGCGCTCAGATGGAAGCAAACATTCTGGGGTATATATGCTGCTCTCTGCTCCCCTCTCTGCTCTTTAGAGGAGACACGTCAGTGCACGTCTCCAAAACGAACATTTCTCTGTGGCATTTCGAATGGACAATAATCAAGCAGGTGGACGTGCAGCACCAGCACGCCTGCAGATGAGGGCCCCATGCAAAGAGGAGCCGCTGCGCTGCGATCGCAGGGGTTGGTGACACCGCTGGTCACGGACAGAGGGTGGCCTACATATGGGAAACGAGGGGAAATGAAATAAATGTTGTAATACACCCGAGCACACACGTCTGAAGAGCAAAGCAGGTTGGTCACACCTGCAAGCCAAAAAACCAACGATTCTGGACAGGACCTTCAGGACTCTTTTGGAAGACAAAAGGAGTGACGTTCTGAGCGTGTGATGCAGCTAAAAGACGGATAATGATGAAAAAGTTAAAATGGAATACAGGAAAGTGCATCAAATGCTGCAGTGTGCCTAGTCAGAGTATCTGTAGTACTGGTGAAACCATTACTAGGCAGTGTGTTCTGGAGTTCACATATTTTTTGAAGAATATTGGAAGAGATTTTGGCTCTACTTCAGACTCCTACCAGAAGAGCAGCTCCTGTTAGAGCTCAGCCCCCCCGGATCAGCAGCCCCAGAACGTGGAGCCCGGCCTAAGGCATCCCTACACGGCGTGTCAGCTCACACCAGTGCCGGTTTGGACTCCAGTCACTTGGTACATTCCCCAGGCCGGTACAGAGGCACAGCCAACAGTGAGCACTGCTGAAGCGGGGAGCAGGGGGGAATGGGAAATGCTCCTGTCTTACAGAGTAAAAGCCATTGACCCAGTTAAAGGAAAAGGAGCCATCCCCTGCATGAGCCACCATTCAGATGTTAATACAGCACTTCAGGTTTGCTCGTACCTGACTAAGGCTGAGCAGTGAGTAAGTAAAAGGGTTTAAAGACTCAACATTCAACCTCCCTCACCCATTGCTCTCATCCTCACATCATCCCTGGCAGTGAGTCCTATCTCTGGCCGTTCCAGCGTGTTACCTGGTACACAACATCTCTGTCCGATCTCGGACACCCCGTCGCTCATTGGCATGTCAGGATCTTGCAGATGTTACCCAGGATCTTGCACACATCCCTGAAACGACAGAACTGAGCGTCCCTGTGGGGAACGACCAACACCCCAGGAACATGGTAAAAGCCCAGCAGGACCAGGGAACCTTACAGAAACCAGCATCACCTATGCCGTGGTGCAATTTTATGTCCAGGTCTAGCCTAAGCCATGAGAAGGGCTCAGTTTAATTTAGCTGCTGTATGTAGCTCCTCGTGTAGCTCTCATGGGTTCATCCTCCAAAATGAGAACGAGTCTCCTGACTCAGTAGTACACAAGCCTCCGTGTTGTCTATGCTGCCTTTTCCACTGCCTGCATCGCTGCTTGCTCCCTTGTTCACAGACAGGTGCTTCTCGCTGCTTTTTAAATTCTACCGGATTTAATCACAAAAAGGCAGAAACTGAAAACAAAAGTTGCAGGCCTTCCCAGGCATCCCGCTTTTCAGATTACACTGTGAAGACAGATAAAAATATCCTTTTAGAGATCAAAAAATAGGCAGCATGACATGTACTTCCTCACAGATTACTGCTTCATCCTCTGCCCTTCTCAGTGTCATTGTGGGACAAACAAACTCATTTCTGTTATTTTGATCCAATCCCTTGAAAGCAAATCACTACAGGTAACGCTGAGCAACTATGACATAAAGGTTTTTGAGTGGCCCAGAAATTGGAACTGGGCAGAAGTTGAATAATTTACATCAAAGGCTTCAGCAAGAATTCATATTAATACCTCCTTTTCCTTTGTCATGCATCTGACAATGTGGAGTGATGTTGCTGCACACATTCTTGCTGAACTACTCTTGTGAAACTGTGTCTGACATTGACTGAAGTGCTCCGTGGGGATTTTCTTGATTGCATGTTTACTCTTCCTCCTTTCGCTCCTGTAAATGCTAGCCTGACATAAATGTACTTGTGACTAGTTAGTTAAAAAAAGGTGAAAAATGGAATAAAACTTTTTTTTTTTTAAACCCTGATTCACTGTGGAAATGAGTCAAGTATCTATGTTTGAGTATACAGGGCTGACTAGGACACTTAATTATCTTTGGTTATATAAAGGGTCATTACATCTCAGCTCCAATTAGGAGGACAAACGCTGACATCTCCCACCCCACAGAGATTAATGAAGTATTTTCTAAATATTATGTTATTTTCTATACATGACTGACTAGAATTGAGGACTTCTTTAGGTCTTGCCTTGGTGGTGTATGTCAGCCCAGGGCGGACCACGGGCTGGCAAACCCTTCTTCCAGAGACACCACAGGGGAGGATGTTCCACAACTTAACAATTTTTTAGAAATATTTTAAACACTTTCATGGTCTTTCCACAGTGTGGCTATTGTGGAGAATCTCCTGAATGGGTAAAAATTGCTGCTAGGAGAGGCTGGCACAAGCCAATACTCTCTGCGCCAGATCAGCTGCGCTGGATACAGATTTCCAGAGGCAAAAGTTGTGAAAACTGGCTGCAGTTACCATCTGGTGAGGAAGAGCTGGTGGCAGAGAAAGATGATACAGAGAACTGTGACCCACCTGAGCTTAACCAAGGAATTTGCAGTAATTTACAAAACTTGAAGTTACCTCAAAGGATTAAAGTTGAAAAATATTTAGTCCATTGCATAGGACTCGAGATGCTCCAGAGCGATACGGAGAGGACAGATGAGCACAGGAAGTCCTCTCCCCCCCACACCTTTTCTGATCAATAAGAAAGATGCTATTCTGTGCTGGGAAACACGACCAACTTCATTTCTCTTCACATTCAAGGCAATTTTCTCAGAACAAACAACATGACAGGCCTCATCTCATCTAGAGATAGTCTACATGACTTAAGTCTTAGAAACCTTGCTGGAGCCTCTTCCAAACACATACATTTATATCTGTTCTCAGCCCTACCAATAACCCTCCTTTCAGCTCCTCCTCTTTTTTTTGTTTTGGAGTTTCATGTGTTATCTGATTTGGAGCAAAAATTAAAACTCGGTTCTTCGTAGAGCTACACTGGCAAACACACTAGGGGAGGCAGAACAACAGAGGGTTCTTTTTGTCAGTGTGGTTTGGGAAAAGCCTTTAAACAAAGTACAATACACTCACATACACAGTTTTACATTTAAAAGTGGTTTGTATTTAGTAGAAAATGCATTTTGTTGCTCTGTTAACGCACAGAAATCTGGGAAATGCATCGTTATCTTGTGCCTTTTCAGCCTAGCCAACAACAGTTAAGCAGTATGCTTTTTATAAGCAAAATACAAGCTATTGCACTCCTGACTTGGTGCCGAAAAGGAAACAGCACATTTTGATTCTGTATCAGGACCTGCAATACTGTACCTCTGTTTCATGTCTAAAAGCATAAACTGAGTGTTCAGTTCTCTCTGGAAACAATGAGCAAGGTCTAAACGAGAAAGGAAGAATCTTCTACGGAAGAGATTTACAGGTTGTCACAACTGACAGATTTTCAGTGAAAAGTACATTTGCATAGCTATGAATCCCGCAGCAAAATTATTTGATTAGTTCTTGTTTAAAGGACTCGTATGCAGGGTATTTTGTGTTTAAAAATGCAGTTCAGTCCTTGCCTTCTGCTAGTTAAAATGCATTTACCATTTCTCAAAAGTGATGATGATGATTTGTTGCTGGCAACAGATCAGGCTGGTGCGGCACAGAGGTATGGCCTCCTTGTTCATATAACCAAATTCAGGGAAAATAGGAGAAAAGAGGATTGCTCTGTAGCAGAAGGACTCCAAAGAACGTGTAGAGCGCCTGTCAGTGGCACTTCAGGAAAAAAACCCATTTTATCTTTTTTGTGGCAGTGAAATAATGAAAGAAATCATTATTTCACTGCAAAAGATGAAAGAAGTGACAGCCGAAACCTCCTTATTAAACTTTGATAAACTCATTTCCTGGTGTCCCTTTTCTAAAAGCACTCATCACACTTCTGCATGGCCAGAGGAACCGCTACAGATGTCAGAAATGTCAGCCCCCAGGGACAGACATGGCATCGAAACATACCGTGGCAGCCCAGAAACAGGTACAGAATATTTCCTCTAAGTGCATTTCCCAACCAACTATTTACAGGCATCAGAAACAAAGCAAACAATTCCTTGTGGTGAGGAGCTTTGTGATCATCCAGCTAGGATTTAGGAACTAAAGCTTGAGAAATACTCCAAAAGACCTCTCGTTCCAACCATCCTGCTTCACCCGAGTTCTTGGTGCTTGGCAAGAACAGTTGTCAGTTAGCAAAAAGGTTCTCTCTCACTCCTTTATGTTCCTTCCTCCCTGGATTTTTAATTAAGCAAGGGAGAGGAAAAAAAAAAAAAAAAGAACAAAGAAAAATGGAAAAAAAAAAAGAGATAATTTCCTGTAGGGAATAAAACTTCCTCTCATAAGACAGGAGGTGGTTCGGCAGCAGCAGCCACGGAGAATCGTCACTGTGATGATAGGTATCTTGGAGATCTAGACTGCATTCAGGACTCTCCAGTCACCGTCCTCGTTACCTTTTCCTCCTCTGCAGTCCTTTCTCACACATGCAGGTTTTTGGACGCAAAGCTGTTAAGGAGAATTGAGTGCTGGTTTAAGACTGTACCTGTATTAACAGTGAAGCCACAGACTAAAATGAGGAAGAAACACGCCCGTTTCCCTGTCCATCCCAGAATAAAGCTAAGCTTTGCTTCTCAGTAATGTTTCTCACATTGACAGTGAGTGCTGCCAATTTTTTTTTCACAGTCCCATGGAATCGTTTTCCTGTGGAAACTGGTCTGAATTCAATGTTGACACTGTTCTGAGCAGGATGTTGGACCCTCCCTCCCTGAGATCTCCAACCCAAAACATTCTACAAATCTGTTCTCAGCCCCTGTGGCTGATACCAGTAAGTACTACGGAGGAGACACGGGGCAGATGGCAATAGGCAATCCTCAGCTGATGGCTTCGGAGCTATTCCGTGCCCCGAATGCTTGGACAGTCCGTGTGATGGCCATGGCAAGGACAGCTGTTCTGCACTGGAACCCAGGATGTCATTACAACAGGCACAGAGACATTCAAAGTACTTCTGATGCTGCCAGTGCTAATGTACTAATAACTTTGAAGCTGTATTGGTACAGGCAGTGGCATTTCAAATCCTTTTCCTACAGAACTGTTATTAAAAGCCATCAAATAATTTCTGTAACAATTTCTAGAGGAACTAATTGGAGAAAGTGTCATGCTCAGGAGAGAAAAACCAATCATGAACATACCAGCTTGGCTGAGAATTTGTAATGTATTTAGGGAGCTATTCTGAGTAATTTACAATGAGTGACTGGGACTCTTCAGACTATAAATACAATCTACTCTTTCTCCTTGGGAAAAAAAGAGGTTGTCTTTTTAATTATCATTTTGTGAGAGAAAAGACCAAACAGAAAGACAGTGGGAGGAATAAAGTCAACATGTTTTCCCCCCTTGTTACACTTATCGTGATTTTGGATTTGCTCGAGGAGCACCAAGCAGCTAATTCTGAGACACAAACGCATCATCCCTAAACCTCCTGAAAAGGCCAGTGGGGAGGCAATGCTCTTATTATTTCAAAAGCTACCTATGAACCTGCACGATTAACACCAGCTTTCAGTTTTATCTTCAGTCAGTTTCTTTCCCGAGGACTTTTATGTATGTGTTGGTATAAACTATGGCTACACACCATGTACATCTTGGATCTATACCATCCACTTTCAGACATAGAATAAAAATCCACCAAAGTATGACAGTCCTGGTTTACCTTCTTATGGTAGAAAAAGTAAATTTAAATATATCTAAAAGAGGTGTAACCTTCCCCACTTTTCCCTGTTCAGGTCTATAACAATGTTCCTTATCCATACCACCTCTGAGCAGAAGAAAACTGTAGAAGACAGAACTAACCTGGATCAGCCGCAGCCTGGTTCTTTTTGCTGTTTGTGACAATCTCATTTTCATTCATCATTCGTACATCCTGATCTCCCACATGATTGCTGAAAACATTAAAATCAGTACAACAGCCAAAATAATCAACACTCCGAAAAGTTATGAGAGTCATGGAGAAGGTTACCAAGTAAGTTATTTAGGTCCTGGAGGCGAAACAAAGCTGTGAAGCACAGCCACGTTATATGAGAGCATCTAGAAAGGTGAAGCGTTCTGTCTGCATCCACCTGAAGAATTTCTTGCCAGTTCTAATTAGTAGCATTCATTCAGGCACACATTCAAATATCAGTATCATATTCACTCTACAATTTTCTTGCCTGCCTACACAGCTTGAACCACATTAACCAAAGTGAGATTTTTAAATCAGGGCTGTACAAAGAGGGTATAAAAATCCCTATATGGAACTTAACACTGTTTTGTAATGTTGATACAGCGTTATTTGAAAATTTTCTGAACTGAACAAAATTCATTTACAGTGACAAGTTTTGCTTGCAGGCTGCTGCAAAATTTTAACAATTCCTTTCTGGGAAAGAAGTAATAACTTCAAAGTTAAATAAATTACAGACCAAAAATGTTAGCTGAATTGAAAGTTAAAGAAACCATCACTAATAACATCTCCCTTTCACATAGACAGAAACAAAACATCCATGCCTTTGGAAAAAAAAAAAAAAAAAAAAAAGTGTATTTTTCTTTTCTCTACCAATACTGCACAAAATAGGTTTCTATTTTGGGAGAGAAATGTAACGTCTCTCTAACTGTCAGAGCGGAACAGGAGAACCAATACTGAAGTAAATCAGAACTTTGCTACTGATGATAATATCAGACTCAAGTTCAGGGCTCATAAAATATTGAACAGTGACATGGGAAAGAGAGTAGGCCAAAATCAGAAGGAACAATATATAAATGCTCAAGAGGAGTTTTAAAATGGAGCGTTATCATCCAGCAAGTAGTAAGGGATCTGTCTTCTATCGCTGAAGTACTCTGTATTTTAGTAGGGTAGCAGGTGAAGAAAAGGAAAACAAGATTTCAAAGCGGGCTAAGAAGAAAGACCAAGAAAGCTCCTGCACAGAAGTCTAGAAGAGACTTGGCGTGTTCTTGACTGAAAAACAGATCATGAAGTCTGCGTGGCCCCGAAAGTATACCCTCGGTAAAAGTAAGTCCAAGGACATGTGTCTCATAAATATGTGCGAAGGAAGTTATGTGAAAAAGAAGGAAGTTATGGGGGAAATTATGTGCTTCTCTGCTTCCAACAAAATAACTTTACCCATAGAAGGATGTTAAGCTGAAGAAAGTAAAGGTTTATTTCTCCTCATCCTTTTTATATCCCACTGAATATTTTTTCTCAAAACTTGTATTTCCTCAAGGCATTTTCATCTCAGTATCTTCTTCACTTGAAAAACTGTTTACCTCCAAATTTTACCATGACAACACAGCCACTCGTACAAAAACATGAGCCTAACACAATACAGCCAAACAATAACAATTTATTTCAACACCTGACGGGACCAGTGGCCAACAGCCAATGCTTTAGGGAAACACGGGAAAAGAAACCCCCTAGGCAAATGTGAACTTCTGGTCTTAATCAGGAGACCTTACGTTCCTTCCACCTATTTCTAAATATTGGAATACTCTTCTGAACAGATCATGTGTCATTTTTGAATGCAAAACTGTTCTCCTTTTTTTTTCCCCAAGTGATGTATGTGCAAGACATTCTATTTGTTAGCTGTGCAATGTATAAGGAAGTGTTTATTTCTTTAAGCTTTCGTTTTTTCACTTTTCAGTCTCATTTAAAATAAATTATCTTTCAACTTTTTTTTTTTCCTCTATTCCTTCCTTGCTAGGGACTGTTTTTTAGACCCTATCAATGCTGACATTATAAATATAAGTGCATTTTTCACTGCATTTCATCATATTTTCTGTGATATTGGCAATTTAGGGGTTTCAAAGTGTCATCCCTCTGAATGCAATTAGTTTCTTATTTAAGAAGTTCATTATACCAGAACATTTATAAAATAGTAGAATTCTGATTCCTTAGTATCTGTGCCAAATCAGAGGACTTTCTTTTCTTTACTTTTGACGTATGGTTCTTTTTCAGTAACTTACTTTCTTTTTTTCCTGTGAAATATCATTGGGATTTATTATTTCTTCTCTAAGGAAGCCTAATTTCTTTCTTCTGCATTTATTACTATAGGCTTCCATGAAAACATATGTAAATATGAATGACGAATCCCAGTAAGTACTAAAAAATGCTTACAATAAAGCTGGCAATTTAGTCCTAATACCTAAAAAACTATTGGTTATTTCCCATTAGGTAAGGTCGAGTATGTTTGGAAGGGAATTTTCCATAGCAATATACATATTGCTGACATCAGTCGTAGAAAAACTTTTTTTGAAAAGATTTTTTTTCTTCCAGTCAAGATCCACTGACATACCTAATAACAGTTCTCTTCTCCTGATGGCAAATCTTCTCATCGTCTGTAAAGAGAATGGTATGATAGGGGACCACTGGATCACAGGTTGGTAGGATGCCTGATACTACGTGGTTCACCATATCCAGAATCCCATTGTAGACCAGCAAGTCATCCACTAGCAGCTGAAGATATTTAAGAAACAAACAGACGAAACATCAAGAAATCAGGCACCACTTTCAGCAGTTGTCTCTATCAATTAACAAGAAATCATTTTGCTCTATTTATTTCACAAGTCTGGTCATTAGTTTAGCTTTTGTTCCTTAAAACTTCCATTTCTCTCTACTCGCTGCTGGGTTTTGATTTTTATTTTTTTTTTAAGTTTTTGTCTTCTCAATGATGTTTCTAATGCAGTTTTTAAGTAGGTCATTAAAAAAGTATTTCATGTTTTACATAATTGCCATTCTGTTAACTGGAGTGATTCACTCTTAAATCTAGGAATTAATGAATCTCACCTCACTTCAGCTGTCTAAAACTTGGGTTTGTGGTTTAAACTAGAATTCCAGGCCTGCTCTATAGTCCGTGGGAAAATGAAAGCATTATCCTATCTTAAGATAATTATTTAAGATAAAAATCAAGATAAAGCGTTCTTTCCCTGGACAAGAAAGGGAGGACAGATGATTGGCATGGCTTAGTCATTTTATTACTAAATGCAGAGTTAAATGAGATGAATCCCATCCTTTGAGATTATATGGAATCACACTTCAGCAAACTGTGAAAATAAGTAAGAAATCAAGCAAGCTGACTCACCAGAACATACAAAATGCATACAAAAATTACTTACACCGAATTCTTTCACACCTCTCTGAGGTGTTTTGGCATAATTCCATAACTTGATCATTGACACTGTAGTAGGTACATCAAAAATGACATACACCCTATTCACCTGTAAAAGAGATTTAATTTATATTTAACAGCACAGATTTCCCAAAGAAATTAAATTCTCATGCACGTTGCATCAAAAGAGGTCTTTTTATGTGTATTATAAAAGAGGTCCATATTTAAAGGCATATAGCTAAAGGACAGATAACTGATGCTAAGGATTTAAGTTCAGCTTATCATCACCTCTGCTGATAATTCACAGATGTTCTCTCCACCCCAGAGCCCTCTCAAAGGACTGCTAGTCAACTGGAGGAGGGGTGGAGACACACTTTTAATGAGTATTTCATCAACCAAATACACACACATGCTTCAAGATAAGACAAGCTGGTGTCTATTCCATTCCATTCCATTCCATTCCATTCCATTCTTATTCCAATTCTATTCTATTCTCTACCAAATAAAAATGGAATTAAGCTTTCTATTGTCAAGACTAAAATTTCTCCTATATCCACTGACTCTGAAAGCTCTGGCAGAAATTTTGCAGTTTTTGAGGGAGGTACAATAATAGGGATGTAGAAACAATTCTCCAGATGCTTGCTAAACAATTATTGCTTGAGGAATGGTTCATTTTACTTTCAATGACATTAATGTCAGGATGTTAAGACCAAAGATTAGGCTGTAGGAAACCAATCTTGCCTGTTACAGTTAATTCTATGTTATTCCTTTTACGAGCTACTATATCAACTTTGGGCAAACGTATCTTAAGCTTCATCCCTAGCATCCTCTGAAGTTTTAATCCTCTGATGCACAGGAGAAGATACTGTTCGTTGTATTAAATCCTTATGCTTTTTTTTTTTTAACTGAAGAAAGAAAGGTAGGTAAGATCAATAGAAATATTTATATCTCTGATATTTCAGAAGACAATATGGGCATAGTCCCCAACAGCAAATGATAAATTTGATGGAAAACACATTCAAACAAATAAATAAAATGACAGTAACAGGGGAACAAAGAATTCAAACTGTACTTACATTAGTAATAAATTTGCAAAAGAGAAAAACACTTTTAGAATTAGAAAGGAAAAATCTATTTAGAAAGGAAAAGAAAGGCTATAATAAAAGATTTCCTTAAAGCTTTCAAACCTTCCAACACAGCAAAGAGTGAATTCAGCTTTCTAGGCAACTAGCATGGTCCAAAGCAGCCTCACGTGAGGATGTAAGTGTACCCAAGCTTTGCTTCAGCATCCCAGCTGCAGAGGATGATCACGGCTGATTGCTTAAACCATCTGCACTTCCTGGCTGTACAACCACACCATGGAAGGTGGAGGAGAGAAAAGTACCATGTGGCTCGCAAAAAGATGGAATTTGTTACAGTTTAAGGATGGAAAGCTCCATTAAATTGCTTATCCTTCCCTCCTGCGTATCACACTTTATCAATTTACCCTTTTAATACTATTATCTTACGTTCTTCTGCAGTACTTTGGGGTCAGACATAACACCAGAAACCAGTGTATGCATCTGTGCTAGAATTCCAGGTATCATTATTTTCCTTTTTGCCAAAATGAAGCAGCCTCTGCAAGAATGTCTTTTTTAAGGACATGAGCAAGCTCAGATGGTTGTCAAGTCAATCATTCGTGATGTTATAATGGATATCTGAGCATCCCATCAAATTAATTACCAGGATTCAAGATGAGGGATCTACACAGTAGGAGCCTCAAGCATTACACAGACCTACCATTTTCCTAAGAAATGCAACTGGTCAGTATTCCCGAGTATATTTAAAAGCTTTATCTTAATTATGCCCGCTGCATTACAATATATAATGATATATGAAGTATTTTCACAATTGACTTAATTATTTGCCTTTAATATTATAATTAATAACTCTAATATACGGAGTAAGGATTTTTCCAACACAGTAAGCTACAACATACCACACGTCAGGTTTACATTTTGTTACTTTTGAAATCCATCCTCTTCTAAGAAATAAATACATTTTAATCGTGTCCATAACAGGCCCACGAAAAATGTCCTCTCTCAAAACAAAGCCAGAACTCATCTAAATTGATCTACTTTTCCTGCTCAGATATTTGATACCCCATATTTTAAACATGGGGCTTCTAAAAGGGCTGAATCACTTGGGGCCTTAAGACATCAAGTACTAAGTCTGTCATCTCTAATTTATGAATTTCAATTCAACACAGATAATGAGAAAAAAAAAAATCTCACTGCTAGAGCATTCACTGCTTTTTGTAAAAATGAATTTAGAGATTCCAGTCTGCTCCCATTTAAAAGGTGTTTATTGTACAAAACACACATATTAAACTCCTTTGTCAGTATCTTTATCATAGTAACTGAAAGAACATCTGTGCTAGCCTTGGAAATTCTTCTGCTGTTGCACCATGGAGACAGAAGGAGATTACAAACCTGGGAAATCTATACTGCTGCTATCTGTGCAGTGAAGAGAAACTGGAATAAAAAGAACTCCTTCTAAAAGGCAGTGATTTAGCACCATTTACCAATACCAACTTTACCTAAAAATAATGTATGCTTCCTCTTTCCTGTATGTGACTAGCTACATCTATGCACATCACTAAAATGGAATGAAAAGGGAAAAATGTACCAAACCAGGAAGAACTGGTGCAAGCCACATATGTCTGCCATCAGTTGTGTCATTTACTCTGTCAATTAGTTTGTCTGGAGTTCGGATGTCTCCAGATACGTCTTCTAAAACGTTGACACTATCTGGAAAAGCAGCAATATCTGAAAAAAAAAACTTTTAAGTGTAAATAACCAAAAAGGACATTTCAGAAACACCGTATTTTGAAGTTCATGCTTGTTCTTTGAGATACCATGGGTGAGTTTTGCCACTACAGCTGTAAAACTTTAAAATACTCTGAGTACTTCACATAAGTGGCTGAGGAACTTGGGGGCACATTTTAAAAAAGCAGGACAACCCTTACAGATTCTGGCATTTGAAATTATTTTTAAAATAGGAATAAATTAAACTAGCTGCATTTAATTTATTTTCAAATATGTATTTATCACTTCATAATCAAGTTCCCTTATCAGGAATAGGCAATTCCTAGCTTTTTTGGTGACAAAGCCCCATTTTTTTAGCATGAACTTGTGAAAAGCTCCTCATATGAAACACATCCCCAGAAAATTATCCTTGCAGGAGGTAGTCATCACTCAGACGAAGTTTTGCTTGAGTTCCTCAAGGTTTGTGATAAAAATCAGTAACTGTCTAATAAGGCCTTCTTTCAGTTCTTTGAGAGGGAAGGATTAAACCAGACTTTCTGGGTAACCAGATTTTCTCTGTAGGAGAACATGTATGCTAAAACCACATGTACTTTAAAGACATGCAAAGAAATGTGGATGGATGGCGCTGTCTTCAGAATTATAAATCCCTAGCCATCCAGTTTGAGGGACACTGATTTCCCCTTGTCCTGCTTTCTAAAAGGCCTGAGTCTGTGTTTATAAGAATTTGTGGAAAATATTTAAGGAAAAAATGATAAAGAAACAGCAATGTCTCAACTGTTTAAGAAAAGCTTGCTCCAGACTCAGTACTAAAGTATCACATTTAGTACTGCACTAAGATAAATATTCTCTTTTGGGGATCCTAATATATCCGAGCGACACTACTGTATGGGGAGGAGCAGGTATCATTCAAAGCGAGCTGAGGTATCTTTACCTGGCATGGTATTGTCCTGTAAAGATGCACAGTAAAAGCTAAGTTAAAGATCCATTCTTCTTAAAAGTCATTTGTTACCACTTTTGAATTTCAAAATGCTTCTTCTCCATTACGGATGTTTCAAGTTCATCATGTTATCATACAAAATATAAATAAAAGTAGCATTCAGGAAAAAGCCTTTATTAGCTTTTTCATTGTATCCCCTACTTAGTAGGCAATAAGAATCCTTAGAGACACGCAATTCATGCCGTATCCATTCTACTTGGCTAAGAAACTCTTTCTTCCATGTGACTGAACCTCGTGAATTCCAGTGTGGGGTATGAAGCTTTCAGCACTTAAGAGACTTTAGCTGATACAGAGCACTGAAGTATAACCTGGATGACTATGAACCTTTCAAACACGTCCTTCACTCAGTCTCTCGTTACCCAGGGAACACTGACTCAAATTCAAAGTTTCACCCCTTATCTTCACAACTGGATTGGGTGTCTAGAATAGCCTAAAGCTCCAAAACAAGAGTTATGAAAAATTTCTTTCCTGTGGCACAATGAAAGATTCCATAACAAAGAACTGAGCTTAACCTATTATGAGTTTATAGCTCATCAAACTTTCTGGTCCTTCCATACTATGGAAGAAATAAACATTGACAGCAAAAAAATACCACATCCTTCTTAAGCCTTCCCTTCTCTAACCTTGTCCGGCTTTGTTGGTGCATCCCACTAAGAGAAGAAATGTTCTGAAGGTATATAGAGTACATTAAAACATACGGATACAAATATCATCACGCAAATATAGAGAAATACAGGCAGAGTAGTAACATGGGATACCCTGGCAATTTGGAAGAAGTAGCAAGTGGTGGCATATGATAATTTGTGAGGGAGCAAGCTGTGCATCTGAAAGGGATAGAGGTGCTTGGTCTGTAAAAGGATACTGTTTTCAGTTAGGAAGATTTGGTCTCCATGTTCATTGAACAACTCGAGTCCGTTCAAACCGATATAGTACGGATCACCCCAACTCGTCAGAAGCTGAAACTGGAAAACAACTAAAAAACAAGATGCTATTAAGGAAAATTTTGATATTAATACTTTGTCCTAACAGTCTATTTAATTTGAAGTTTCAAAAATTATTGTGCAGCCCACACCCTGATGCCAGACACTCTTAATTGCAGTTTGAGTGCAAAAAAAAAAAAATCTGTTTTTCACTTCTGACTTCACTATGTCTTAAACCTCTCTGAATAAGCAATTTTCTTTCAAGACAAGAAGTCTGTCTTTTCTATGGCTGATAATACCCACACAGATGTGCCACCTGCAAGTGGCACAGCTAGGCAAAAATCTACCTATATATGTTTATATATATAAATGTTCACATATATATATATATATTCATATATGTTCTTCCATCAGGTGAAGAACTACTGAATTTTTTTAGTGTGTGCCTTACCTTCTTGTACACTGCTCCTATCTGGAGCCTTTACTGCCTTCCTATGTTTGCCTGGTTCTGAATTTTATGGGTGGTAATTGGCCAGCAAATATACCCCTAAACTGAACAGCAGAAAATGTAATGATGGAGTCTGTGCTGTCCATTTCTCTAATGGAGCACTCGTTTGTGTCTCTTTGCTCTATTCAGACACTGTTTTTCATGAAACTGGCAGGAACTTTGTATTGCTGAGACCTCATTGTCTCCAAACTTGGTTAGAATAGCCTAATGGATTTAAAAGGCCCATTGAGTAGATGGATGGCATGACATTAAGTATTATCACAAAAGGCTGTGCTTATCTAGGAAAACTTAAAAAGCCATAAACATTAAGAAAAATGGCAAAGATATTACACAGTTCTGGTCGACCTTAATAAAGGTCTAAAATGAGACAAACATCCCAAGATATGCAGAAACACAAACACTACTTCTAGCTTTGATAGGCTGGCTGGATACTGTGCTAATGGACCTCTAGTTCCACCTTGGATGGATTATAAAAGGCAGGAAAAAAAAGCTATCAGTGTATCTGAAAACAGGTCACATATTCATATACTAGCTCAATTTATTTATTCTTTATTCAAACTTAATGGAAGCCTTTCTCATATGTATGCTATCTTGTTAATTTCTTAAAGCACCAGAAATTGTTGGATTCAAAAAGCTCATGACTCATAACCCTAGTATATAACTCTAAAACATTCTATGTGACAAGAATATGACAGAGCAGGATACAACCACGTGGCATTAACGGTGCTTCATAGTCCATACTAGCTTGCTCCATTCTCTTTGAACCAGCCCTGTCAAAAAAAAAAACAAAAACAAAAAAAGACAAAGTAGTTTCTTTATGTACCCTTGGCTCATTCAGAAAAGAACAAAATCAAAGAATGAAGCCTCCACAAACACCACCCCCTGACCCCCCCCACTTGTGATTATGGACTAGATTGTCCCCTGATCTCAGTAAAATCTGGTTAATGGTATAAAGTTAAAACGCAAGGAAACTTTTTGCTCTAAATGCTTCATGTTTTCATCCAGGTGCCTCATCCAACTGGCTTCAACAGAGATTATGAAACATTACTAAAATTAAGAGAAATTGTGTGGTTCAGACAGCAAAACCATCCTACTTTACCTCCTTTGTACTTTATTAATCAGCTGAGGCTGCAGATAGTCAGGAAAGAGAATTTCTTGGGCAAAATCAAAATGACAGTTGCCTGGTCCCTTGCGGATTAGGAAGCCTTCTGGTGGGGAGATGCTGTGACCATCCAGCAACACATGGACTACCTTAGCCTTGATTAAAATAACATAACAGAAGATTACACGGCACGATAGTACACAAAATAAAATAGATCCAAAACAATTGCATTCACTTCAGAGGCTGAAATAATTTCAACCGTTTTGTTATATTTATTTAATTCCATACTTTTGTTTCCATAATTTTGTGATATTTATTTCTATAATTCAGCAAAAGAAAGCCTCAACAGGTGGATTTCAACCTGCAATTTCAACCAATTGCAACCCATAGTGTGCAATTCAGAGGATCATAGCTGATATCGATGGGGATGGGAGAATAAGAATTTGGGGGAAAAAAAAGAAAAAAAGAAAAAGTATTGAAGAGATCCTTCAATTACTTCATCTCACTAGATCTCAGCAAACTGAAGCTTCATTTCTTCACTGTAAGGGCTGTCAAGCACTGGAACAGGCTGCTCAGGGAAGTGGTTGTGTCATCATCCCTGGAGGTATTTAAAAGACCTGTAGATGTGGCGCTTAGGGACAGGGTTTAGTGGTGGGCTTGGCAGTCTTAGGTTTATGGTTGGTCTTGATCTTAAAGGTCTTTTCCAACCTAAATGATTCTATGGTTCCCGAGCCTGCGGCACACATACACACATCAACAGAACGGAGAGACTCGGCTTTCAAGTCAGTTTATGTGACGGGGGTGATCGGAGGAGACAGTTAAGAGTCACCATGCACCTGAACGCACCGCGAGGCCAGGCCTGACTGCTCAGCTCGGGCTGAAGCTAGCCTTTAAAAAGCACATAACCTTGTGCTCTCTCTCTCGAGCAGACTTTTGTGTCTCTGTTGCATTTATAGAGAACCTGTATTTCACCAGTTCTATTCATCTTTGTGACAGGTGGCACTTGGACTTTTCCAGGATCACGCAAACTTGTCTGCCAAGCAGTGCTATACGTAACCTGAGGGCATATGAATAAAGATGAGGTCCCTGTACCAGGCAGAAAGAACTGAGCCTTGTCCACATCACAGATGCATGAACGTCTTATACAATCTTGGAAGATTAAGCTAAATAATTCAGGCATACTTATTGAGATGATGCAGGAGTCCTGGGCTCTCCACCCTCCCCCATTAGCACCATCTGGTGTCGTATGCCTGATCCCAGCCACGTAACAATCCAATCATGCGGCAACAATTATCACTGCATCTTCCTCCGAAATACGTTAAATATAACTTAGCGTTAAGCACAAGCAGCATTTATTGCACTGAGTCTTGCACTAACTACTGGTTAAGGAAGGAGTAATACCTGTAAAATATAACCAAATGGCCTTATAACTGCCACTATGATTAAAGCTTGCTGATTAATGGATTGAGCCAAAATAGATTCATTTAGTTAACAAATGACTTAATTAGTCTAAAGGCAATGTGAGTCAGTTTTCTAATATTTGGATTTTATACTGATTGATGTATATATGATAATTTGAGGTTAATTCAGTATTGTATGCAAACACTTAATTTTCATTATAGGCTTTCTATTAATATATATATATGCAATATTTATAGTTAAAATTCCCATTTCAGGTGTCTATCTGAGAAGAATTTACAAACATTCAGAGGTTTCTGCAAAGCCGGTATATTATCAGTGACCTGATATTCATAACAGTTTTCATATTTTTTCCATTTTAAAACGATTTTTTAATTCAATGATAATTTCAGTAAGTTACACATGCAATATCCCCAAAAGAGATTTTTTTTTTTTTTTTTACACAAACATTTCTTGATTTGAAAACCTTGGGCATTGTACAGACTAGAGGAGACACTCAGTTCACTTCCAAACAGCATGAAGATTAATTAGGAGGGAATGTCTGTATGAGTACCAAGTATGGAGAAATAACTATTTCTGGTTTCATCTTTAATACACTTGGGAGCAAAGAAAGGAAATACCCTTTTCATATCAGAAACTGTTCTGCATGCTACTTCCCAGCTGAATCAGTCTGCCAGGCTAAGGAGAGGAAGTGAAAAATCCACTGAAATACACTTTAGTTTAGCAAACACGTACTGAATGGAAGTCTAGAGACTTAGAGATGAAATCTTACCTATTATACCACAGCTGCTTATATTTATGTGCCCTTTACAGCCCTCATTTCTAAGTAATTTTCATCATCTGAGAAGGCACTCAACCATCACACATAGCATTTTACAAATCGCATAACAAAGCTTTCACAAGGTAATTTTTCATAGAGCTGGAAATAGCACACAAGCCTTCATTTTGACAGTTCACTGCCATTACCCTCTCATACTAAAGCTGTGAATAGAATCCACCAGTCTACAGCTGCCTAGCAAATCATTATATCTCATACTAGGGGACTGTTTCTTAGAAGGAACAGCAATACTTCAAGAGACAGATGTCATGATGCCCTAGGTTTACAGCCTAAAGCCTCTTTACTTTGGCTCAGCAGATACCTTACATCTTTAGTTTTCCAAATAATTTATTTCATCTTTTTACAGGACTGCAGCTCCGAACTCCTCATTTAAACTGTATCCACTGTTATGGGACCTACAGGTGTGCCACCTGCATGCACACTTTATCAGACTCACCTCTTTTTTCTACCTAGCAAAGTAAACTGTGAAAATATACCTCTCTTTCTTTCTTTCTTTTTTGATTTGGCCTCCAAAAAACAAATTCCATGTTAAAGATTTTAGGGACCTGGCTATTTCTCTTTCCCTCCTTTCTCCCCTGCTCTGCCTTGGAGAAGCTTGGGTTTACAACCATAGTGAAAAAACATTCCATATCACCACTTAAAGACAGTTCTTCATATTGCACTTTGTACACAGAATCACAGAAAGATTTAGGTTGGAAGGGACTTCTGGCATGTGCTCTGAGCTCCTGCTCAGAGCAGAGAAGCCTGCAAAGCTAAAATCGGGTTGCTCTGGGACTTGTCAAATTTAGTTTTGAACTCACTGCACACTGTCCCAGAGCTGTATCACTCTCAGAGGGAAGAGTCCCCCCTTTATGCTGAATCAGAACAATTAAGGAACAGATTTTACTAAAAAAAACCCTAGTTGTTATACAGGGGGTATGTTTAGATAAGCTCAACGTGCTCCTGAGCCCTCCCATGGGTCAAACGTGTTGGGTTAATGCAGTGTATCACAAAACCAGGTGCCATATGTTAATACCCCTTTACCAGTTGTGGTTTAAATGAAGGATCTTATGCTCCAGCCCTCTGAGGATCTTCGGCCAGTTTTTGGCACTCAACAACACCCCATGCTGATACTTAAAGATGCCAGGGCTCTGTTGTGGAGAGGGAACACCTCTCCACACATCTATCTAATGTTCGTGTTAAAGCAATTTACACAAAGAAGCAGTTGTGCAATTTTTGCCACTATCTTGACCAATCCTATCAACTATCCATGCCTCCGACTTCAGCTGCAGAATTTTTTCCAGAACTTTGCTGATCCTTGTCGTCCTGTCTCTCTCTCTAGTTTAATATATACCAACATTTTTCTTCTTATCGATTGACTGAGTTTGGACATCAAGAATGAAAGAGTTATATGTGAAGGTGAAGATCTGGAAACAAATGGATTCATAAACTTTCTGTGCAGTGAAGAGCAACTACTTCTTCATTTGCATTACAAGTGCATGTACAGCTTCTGAGAAAAGCCAGGGAAATGAGGGACAGCCAAACTCAGAGTGCCAGCAAGATGGAACATGATCTCCAACAGGTGTCCATCGCCAGTCAGTTCTAAGAATTCAGTATGAAAAAAAACATATCAACCAAGAAATTTGGAAAAAGAAGAGAGGAGGTACGTTATACAATTCCAGCTAAACTACTTTAGCCAAACTGTTTGAAGATGTCAAGTTTCCCTAATAAATGTTAGAGTTCAAGAGACTCTTCTTCCTTCTTGGAAAAGGTATTATTGATTGACTGGCCTGTAACACCTGAACAGAATTTCTGCTGGAGAAGTGCCCCTGTTCTATTGTTCCCTGTGTTCCAGGAAATAAAGAATCACACGGTAGGCCTAGATACTAGATACTGAGAGGATACCACTTCAGAATCATATATCTTAAAAATACTACGTGCTATTGTATGTGTCTCTTGGAAAAATCAGCTGTGAAGATTTCTTTAAACTATCTCTGGCTTTTTTTCAATATTTGCTGTTTGTGGAGACAGAAATGCATTATACCTGCCACAAAATTCAGACTCAGACAATCTAGAAAGATTTATGGTGTTCCATTAAGGCTGCTATATTCATTCATCACAGTACCAATTTTCCAATGCACTGCTGTATATTTTTGCTGGCAATGCTCCTTTTCTTTTACTTACCCCTCTATAGGTATCCTCCGGAGATTTATTATAGTTCCAAAAGCGAAGCCCTGCAATACTTTCAATTTTATCAAAATGGATTGTGAGCAGATGATCTTCTCCAAAAGAGAAGGGAATGAGCCACATATGTTCGTCCTCTACTGTGATATTAGTTCCATCTATTAACCTACAAAGAGCAAAATCCATTAGCTGGGAAAAAAAGGAAAAGCTTGCTTTTTCTCATGTAAATCAGGTACTTTACTAGGTGTTAATTTTTGCTACATGCCACTCCTAGCTTTCAGGGCTTACTGTTCCCATGTGTATGCAATTAAAAAGCACAATAAACATCAAAAGTAACATGCAATTGTTGAATTAAAGACACTGGGGGGAGAAACACAACAGAAGAATCCTTAGAAAACTGGGTGAACAGGGGCTGGCAGAGGAGAGTTCAGCTACCCTTGTACCAAAATGGGCCAAAGGCAAAACTCTAAGGCCCCCACACAATATCATTTATTAACACAGTTCTACGCCTGAACGGGTATATCTAGCACTCTGCGGTGTGTTACTATGCCAATGCAATCGCACTGAATCCAGTAAGGAGTTGGGTGGCAGCTGGATAACCCAGGGAAGAAGCAGCATTTGTTCACATCCTTCTTCATGCGCAGAGTTAGGCACATTTCTACTTTTTAAAAAAGCTTTGTACCAGCATGACAATGTCCTTTCATAAGAGCACAGACTTCAGGCTGACTAGATAAAGTAAATTCCATTATTTCCTCATTTTGGAATCCTGAACTTTATATTCTTCTACCACAAACTACAACACACAAAGATGGAGTAAAGGAGAATATGAACTAATTGTCCACTGTAATTACTTCAGTACACTGCCCTACGTACTTAAAATTTATTTAGAAGTTTAATGGAAGAATGACTGCCAGATTTGGCAGTTCCTTAAGGAAAAAGATTTGAATAATGACTCTTTCACAGAGGAACTGATTAGAGAGCCCATGAGAGAAGATATCATCTTTCATATTTTCATAACATCTAAAATCTTTCTTGGCAACATGGACAGTGGGATTGAGGCACCCTCAGCAAGCTCACTGACAACACTGAGCTGCGTGGTGCAGCCGACAGGCTGGAGGGAAGGGATGTGCCATCCCGAGGGACCTGGACAGCCTGGAGAGGTGGGACCATGCGACAGGTTCAACAAGGCCAAGGGCAAGGTCCTGCCCATGGGTCGGGGCAATCCCAAGCACAACTCCAGGCTGGGCCAGGAGTGGATTGAGAGCAGCCCCAAGGAGAAGGACTTGGGCTGTTAGTGGATGGAAAACTGACTGTGAGACAGCAATGTGTGCTCACAGCCCGGAAAGCCAACGGTGTGCTGGGCTGCACCCAGAGCAGGGTGGGCACAGGGCCAGGGGGGGATTCTCCCCCTCTGCTCTGCTCTGGGAGACCCCCCTGCAGGGCTGGGTCCAGCTCTGGGGCACCAACAGCAGAGGGACATGGACCTGCTCGAGCGGGGCCAGAGGAGGCCACGGAGATGCTGGGGGGGCTGGAGCCCCCCTGTGAGGACAGGCTGGGAGAGTTGGGGGGTTCAGCTGGAGGAGAGAAGGCTCCGGGGAGACCTTAGAGTGGCCCCCCAGGGCTGAAAGAGGCTGCAGGAAATGGGGGAGGGACTCTGGATCAGGGGGTGTAGGGATAGGATGAGGGGTAAGGGGTTTAAACTGAAAGAGAGAAGATTTAGATTATACAGAAGGAAGAAATTCTTGACTGTGAGTGTGGTGAGACACTGGCAGAGGCTGCCCAGAGAAGCTGTGGCTGCCCCCTCCCTGGAAGGGTTCCAGGCCAGGTTGGACGGGGCTTTGGGCAACCTGGGCTGGTGGAAGGTGGCCCTGCCCGGGACAGGGGGGTTGCATGCAACTGGATGATCTTTCACATCCCTTCCAACCCAAACCATTCTTTGAGTCTATGATTCCACACAATCCTTGAATTGGTCCTGATAGCACACAGTAGCTATTCCAAATGCTACAGCTGAGGAGCACTGTAGTGTACTCAAATTCAACATGCTTGCAGAATTAAGAAAAGCCAAACCTACCCCTAGTTCTTGTGCACAAAATGGTTCTTACGCAAAAATAAGGAACTATATCAGAAAAAAAAAAAAAAAAAAGGAGCATCAAAATCAAATAAAATCATTACACACAGCAGAGAGAATATTAAGTGATATCATACTGGAAGAACAAAACAAATGTATCCCACTTACTAAGAAAGATGTTAGAAAGAGGGAGAACTTGAAAAAGCAAAGCCAGCCTGGCTCAGTGGCAGGATAAAGAAAGCTATTACAAGCCATCTTTCAACAAAATTCATGATCAAACCCCCCTAAATTGATAGGATCATAAACTCTGGAAGGCTAAATGCGTATGCACAGGCCAAAGAAGAATATGAAGGCTAGCAGCACGCCAAAGGTATCATAAATAAAATTCCTCAAATACATCAAAAGCAGAAAGCCTGGCAGAAATTCTGTTGGATCAACAGATGACTAGTCTGTAAAAGGAGCATTCAGAGAAGGTAAGACACCAACAGAAAAGCTAAATTAATTCTTTGCCTCTGGGTTTATCATGGTTGAGTATGGAGAGAGTCCACCACCAGAATCTCTTCACCACAGGGGGTCTCATGGGAATATTTCTTATATCTTGATGCCTATAAAAGCGATTTTCATACAAATAGGCAGAAGAACTGAGGAATTACATACAAGTAAGCTTGACATCTGTATTAGTTAGATTGGCAGAAATTACAACGAACAGTTAGGTACATGTGGCTAAACACGACAGTCTAAGGAAGACTCAACAAAGATGTTGAAAAGAGAAGGCTTAATTCATAAACCTATTCACAGCCCATAAACATGCCAGAGAACAGGATTACTACTGAAAATATCCTTTAAAACAGAGATATGACTCAGAAACAACAGGATGCAGCTTCAACACCAAATCTGCTCCAGACCTATAGCCTGTGAGCACGTTAATTTGAGGACGTATACCTGTCAATGATAAAACTTAATCGGAATTACAAAAAAAAAAAAAAAAAGCTGCAGAGTTGCCACAAGAATGGCACCTATTTGTGCAATTCCCTCATACCTCCTCACCCTTTGCTAACTTGAAATTTTCCTTGAAATTATCCAGAAACCCTGCCTAAATATCACTGCATATGCACAGACAGATGCTCCAGAACACCCACATTTCTGCCTCGAAAGTCCTCAGCAGAGATACCAACCAGGCACATTACCATCTCCTAACTCAAACACCATCTTTGGAAACATCTCATTCATATTTCTACAACAAGCTGTTCCTGGGTAGCTTGTGAAATCCAAGAATGAGCAGTGATGGTATGAAAGCCATGTTTGCATTAATATGTGTTAACACCATAAAAGTTTATATAATTATGTCACTTTGTAAAGTCTGATGTAAAATGCATCTAAAACTGATAAACTCCAAACCTGTTTGTGGAGAAAACAGGCATAAATAATAAATAATTAAAAAAAAAAAAAAAAAGAGCCCTGCACAAAATGCTTGGACAATCCAACTCCTTTACTACTTACTTTTCTAATGTTCTGGAATCTCCAGTACACTCTGGAAGATCATTTAGGTCTTGAGGTGAAGCAGAAATTTGTTCTGTACTTATTTTTAATGCGTGACCGTCCTTTCCTATCACTTCAAGTCCCGTCAGTCCAAGGTAATGAGAGTCTCCCCAGGTCATGGTAAAATTCAGTTGCAGGCCTATATAAAATAATATACATATAATAAATCTCTATATCATACATAAAATAAATCTCTATATTATACATATAATAAATCTATATATACACTAGTAAGGAGCCGATATAAGCATGCATGCAAGCCCCGATGATTAGCAGTATGTGTATTTTGTTTAGATTCAATAACTTGATACGCTGTGTTTGGATGCATTCCTACCTCCACGTAACAGCATAGTATCTTCTGTAAATCTGTGCCAGACCCCTTCAGAGGGGTACCAACATCTTATTCACTTGTAACTATGCAACTCCTGATCAAACATATTATCAAGCGCCTCATTACTTAGACTGCAGACTGACAGAAATTGAATGGTACATTTAAGCAGTTACATGACAGATTTTGTGATTACGCCGACACAGAGAAGACCTATTAGTCTGAAGTCTATCTATCATCTTTTGCCAGCTAAATGACTATATGGAGTCATATAAATCCAGTCCCTCGTAAATCCATAAATTGTGAGAGAACATGAACTCATAGTTAAACCAAAAAACAAATTCGGTTTACTAATGTCTTTAAGTTACTATATTCACAACAGAACTGGACATCTGGAAGTATTTTAATGGGACAGCATTAGTGAAAAGCAGCAACGTTGATTACCCTGCATCTCCAGAAAATAAATAGGAAAGAAAAATTGGGCAGACAAAAGATTGTACGTGTATCTTCAGATCCACCTGTTTCATGCCTTAATGAAAAAATATAAATTCCATATACAGATAAAACAAGTAATATTCCAATCTGATCATGTTCCATAAAAATCCATCACTATAAATTAAAAATGTATTTCATTTCACCCATTACAGAAGCCCAGAATAATCAAGTTGGATAATGTCTAAAGAAGCACCAGTAGTCATGATGCCCTGTAAAACAAACAAGCATTAAACCTATTAAGCCATCCAGACCAATTACTTCTAAATAGCCGTAGCAATTTACACAAGACTGTCTTGATACATACATAAATTCACTTGGGTGTAAGATCTCATTAGCATTTGCAAGGACACTAAGAAATAAATAGTTCTATTAGCTGACAAGTTTGGAGCTACGGCTACACTGATATTAGATGCTATTCCCAAGGCCACTGTTAAGACTGAACTTGCTTAGTGTACAAGCATGCAAGAGTTCTCAGGAAAAACCAGAGTATATTCTCAAACAGAAGGGAAAAGACCGGGTGAAGCAGCTGTCCACACAAGGTTTGGTATTCACATCACCACGCCAACGCCTTCATAGAATCTCCGAATGACGCAGGGTGGAGGGGACCAGTCAAGGTCTCTAGTCCGGCTCCAAGCTGAGAGCATGTCCATTAGATCAGGTCTCTCAGGAGTTTATCTAGTGGAAGTTTGAATGACTCCAAGGCTGACAGATTTCAAAACCTCTCTCTCAACCCCTGTTCCAGTGTTTGATTGTCCTCAGGATGAAAAAGATTTCCTAATACCCAGTTGGAAATGCTTTACTTCTACCCTGTAGTTTCTGCTGCCTCTCAGTCCAGCCCTATGTCCATGCCTGGGTCTGTCCTTCGATGCCCTCTCCATAGCTACAGACACCAGGACCTGCTCTTCACCTTCTCTGGGATGAACAAACCAACCCAGCTCTCCCGTGGCAGGTACTCCAGCTGCCTGACCCTCTCGGTCACCCTCCTCACTGGACTCGCACCAGTACGTCAATTTTCTTCTTGTTCTAGGGAGCTCCATTCTTAACATACTACTCCAAATACTGTTTCACAAGTGTCAAATACAGCAACAAATACAGCAAAAAAATGCCTTTCTCTTTCCCTGCCCTGCTGGCTGCACTCTTATTTTCACATCCCAGGAGGCAGCTGGCCACCTTTACTGCTGACTCTTGTTCAGGACTTCAGGCCCTTCAGTGCAAAGCCCCTTTCTGTGCTAGTTGCCCCTCCCAAGCCTGTCCTGTAGCCTGGGTTGTTACATCCCACACGCAGGTCTTTGCATCTGCCCTGAACTTCACAACGTTACATTAGGTAACACCATGAGGTTGTCATTTCTTCAGCCTGCTGAGGTCCCTCTGAAGCACAGCCTTGTCCTCCCACTCCCCTCTGTTTGGTATCATCCACAACCTTGCTGAGATTGTACTTTATCCCATCATCCAAGTTCTTTAAAAAAACCCACATCAAGCAGTGTAGACTATAGTAATATTGATCCCTCTAGTAACTATCCACTAGCTGGACTTTATACCAGTGATCATCACACTTTGAGGCACTATTTCTCCTTGACATCACGACAGGGAGCAGGATGAAAGAGACAAAAACTACCTACAACAGGTCAAGGATAGAAATCCTCAGGGACTCCATGCACAATTTATTACCAGGGGTCCCAGATGAAGAAGGCAGCGCTGATCCTAAGTTTTGCACAATTTTCAGTAATTTCCCAAAACAAGGAACAGCAAGAGGACTCTCACGCCAGGTCTGAGGGACCACCCCACAGAATAAGGAGGACAAGGAACAATATACACAGGCAGGACAGGGTATGCAGAAATCATTGGCAAAAATGAGATTGTACCTTCTAGATGGTTTTTTGCTTTTGTGCAAGATCATTTAAAGAGAGTCCTTTGTCACAATTGATGGCAATTTTTTTTTTCTGTGTAAGAGACTAAACTGGAGTTTCTCTGCATTTCATAAGACACGAAAATCCTGCCTTAAATACAACTAGCTTTCTCCTGCTCTTTCCCTGCAAGAACTCATGGAAATCAAGACCTCTTTGTCTGGTAGAGACAAGTTAGTCCAATCAGCTGATTAACAATATCTTGTCAGTGTGAGAGACTGCATCTGCTGAGCTCTGAACCACCCTCACTATCTTTCGCACCTACTTTGAGAAACTGGAGGACGAAGAGGAATCTTAAATTCACTGATAGGAACTGATCACAGACAGGTTCATAGGTAAAGTTGAGAGCTGTAGATATAGTTCATAGGTCATAGATCACAGATACAGTTCACAGATACGTGGCTGACTAACCACAGCGTTGTGTGTATTTTCAGAGAGCACATCACATGTTGCTAAAGGCTTTATGTCAGGCCCAACAACTCGGTTTCTCTTGTGCTGGTCAAAGGACCAGGAACTCATACTAAAACTTCTGGGCCATCCAGAAGCTCTCTAGACACTAATTTAAAGGCCCACAGAGAGTTTTTTATACAGGATATAAGAAATCAGGTACTTTAAGTATGGCTATAACATTCTGGTCTAGTTTTACTGTAGGGTTTATATTGTCAATCTGATCTAAGAAATTCAATCAGTCTACATAAATACATAGGATTGGGAGAGAATTACTAGGTAAGGGACACAGCTATTACAAATCCCACTCAGGGACTAGGCAAATGGCTAGTGTTATTTTTCTGAGATTAAAAGCCAACTGTTACAATATAATGTTCTAAACGCCATAGAAAACAAAGCTTCATTCAATTACTTTTCTTTTTTCTAGACCTGACATCTGTCACAAAGTTCTGTACAGCTCTGACAAATTAGATTCTCCTTGGTAACATGTTAGGGGGGAGGGTGGTTAAGCAAGAAGTGAATATAAGAACTTACATTTTCCAGTAAATATTCCTGATTCCTTGGGTATACATTCAGAGACAGGGTCTGCCCCTTGAACCTAAAAAATAAACCAACAGGTGCAATGAACATGCATATCATATATTCATTACAGAAATATTGTTTATAAACTGGATTTTTTTTTTTTTGTGGGGTTTTTTGTCTGTTTCTTTGGTTTTGGTTGTTTTTTTTTTTTTACATCCACCCTTTCGTATATCAATCTCCCCTTTGCCTCACCACACAGGTCATCCTGCAAATAATTGCAAACATGACCTAAAATGTAGGCAATCATCTGGATCCTTAGAAAGTCACAACTATTAGGGGTGTTTTTTCATGCATATACGAGTGTTAAATGGGAGACTCCCTATTCTCAAAGAGGTTGACATTTTTAAGTCACTCTTATTTACCTGCAGACTGCCACTAACACAGGATAATACACCTTATTTACAACATGCTGCAAATCTGTTGCAGAGACAAGAAGTCTGGAAGGAAGTTAAGACCTCAGAGAGTGCCACCACAATTTCTTCTCAAGAATCAAGGAGCAGAACAAACAAGCAAACTGGTTCAAAAACTTGCATTTGTCCTCTGACAACACTAATTAGTAACAGCCTATGCTATTCAGCATAGCAAACCAGAAAATGAATAAAGAGATGAAAAAATTTGCTGATCATACTGGGGCAATTAGGATAGTAAAGACAAAAGATAACTGCAAAGGGCTGCAGATAAGACTTCATTGAATGTGCATGATAAAATGGCTAATTATGTTCACTGTAGTTAAATGTAAAAATGCTACACATGAGGAAAAGAGTCCTAACTTTACATATACAGTATTGAGCTCCAAACAAAATAATAGCAGATTAAAATGAAATCTTGGCATTATTGTAAGTAGTTCTGCAAAAATATCAGCTCGATCTTCATTAGCGTTCAAAAAGCCAAATAGAAGATTAGAAGTCCAGACTCCTTCTCTATACTTCCATTCATCATTAGAAGTAGCCTTCCTGTCATCCAGAATACATCAAATGGACCTACATTGTGCCCAGAAAAAATAGACTTGTCAACACTTTTCTCCTACTGTTATATTAGATCTCTGCAGTACAACCACTGACATCCTGGATCTTCTATGTTCCCAGACTGCAATATACTTCAGGTAGCAGCAAATGACCTTGTGGTAATTAAGTAGGTGAAACTGAAGATGAACTGTGCACTGAAATAAAGACACACGGATAACCTACAGAAGCCGGAAAACACCCTCATATTGGGGGTACATTTCTCATGAAACAGTGTCCCTATCTTTGATGCCATCCTTTTTTCTCAGAACAACTTTAGAAGACCAGCTGGAAATTAAATTTTGCAGCTCTACTGAATATCTAAATCCACGGACACAATAAAAATATTGGTTTTATAGAATGCAGAATAATGCCCTCCCTTGCAGGCTGTAAACCATCTGTGCCAAACCACCTTATCACCTTTTTCTCCCTCTTCCTCACATCTTGGCTACTTAGATCCCTTCATTCCACTGGTGTCCACGATCTTTTCTATCGGTTATGGTCTAATTTTCAACTATTTCAACTACTTATGCTTGTGAACATTGTCCTACCTGTGTTCTTAGATCCTTACGGCTTGACCAAAATACCACCATAATTATTGGAAAAGCAATAAAAAGTAGAAAGTATTACCATGCTCCTACAGCTGACCATACTGCATAGCACCTTTCATGTGAGGAATAACTAAAGTAGGACTAATCATTCTGGAAATGAGAGATTTCGAAGGGATTGTAACAGAGGGGATAAATATCTTGAGTGACTTGAAGAAGGGAATGAGGGATAATTGTTTAATTTCTTCCAACACAAAAACTAGGGGACAATAGATGAACCTTGAGACAAATAGAAAGAGGTTCTCTCTGTGCTGTGCAAGTTACGTGGGGAAACTCACCCCAGAGCACTATAAGTTGTAAAAGTGCACATGGGTTCAAAAAGCTAGGGGAGGAATTAATGCAATAAAAATCCATGGCAGGATACTAAACACAAAGTTAAGTCAAAAAAGCCCTCGTGAGACAAATTTCTAAGGACTGGACGAATGTTTCAGAGAAATATCACTGCATGTTTGCTCTGTTCTTACATTCTCCCAAGGCATCTACTATTGGCCGCAGTCAGGGTTGGGTCAAGTGCACTTGTTACAGGACTGACCCGATATAAAAGTTGACATATTACTGAATTCATGGGACAGACAGATGACCATGGATAATATTGACAAGATAGTAAGGCACTTCTATGAAAGCTTTTGAAAAGTTCTGTAGTCAGTGCAGTAAAACACTGTTCCATCCACTGAAGATGCTGAAGGCAAAAAAGGTGAATGATCAACAGGTACAGACTGTTCAAACCCATTATGAGTCTGAATGACAACGTTATGCTAGGAAGACAAATCATCCAGTAGATCTGTATCACTCTGATATTCATCCATCTACAAAATCTTGATGGTACCAGCAAATACAGAATGACAGGGAGATCAATGGCTCAGTCACAATAGCTTCTGTTATTCCCTTGCTGATACAGCATGTTTCAGAGTTGGAGTACAAAGCGCATCACAGGTGAACAGCCAAATAAAAGGCAGAGGCTATGAGTAAGGACCAGACAGCCCACGTCCAGGCCTCTGCAATGGAGAGGTCCTGGTGAATGCTCACAATAAACAAGTGATCAAGAAAAGAAAGGTGAACTTCCAGTTTGTTCATGAAACCCTGCTCTGCATAAGGTGCCGGCGATACCACAAGCAAAGATGGGACCAGAATTACTGTTTCTAGCACTGGTGAAGTCGAAGGGTTTGAGTCGCTGACTCACGATCTCAACAGAGAGATCAAATTCCAATGTCACGACGTTTCCCTTTGTCTTATAAGCCACCAGGAGAAGAGGACAAGACAGAACAGGAAAGCTTGACCAGCACATGAGAAACATCACTGCGGGCACTTTAGCTAAACCAGCTGGAATTTGGATTGATTCAGCTTTGGATGTCCTCACAGACTTACAAGAATGTATCCCCTAGAAGAAGATAACCTCACTGAAGCAACAGTAGGTGCTCATGAAGAGTCTAAGGTAGAAGATTTGATGGAAATCAGGTCAAAGACTGCCCCACACCATCCTGAGCAAAAAATCTTGTGGGATCTTTGTCCAGACGCTGGACCATTGGGCTGGAACGGTATGAGGCAAGACTCCAGTACTTGAAAATACGGCCTTCCTCCAAGCAATAAAATACCTACCGCACAGAATAGTAAAGGGGTATTTTTGTGCTGCAAAATGCATGCATGGAGATGCTTCTCAAAGGAGGTAAGAGGAAAAAATAACGGGAGGGTTGAAAGGGGGAGATCCTTCTCACATAAGATAATTTGTGGAGGAAGAAACTAGCAAGAGTATACTCTGTGTGGAAAATACGGAAAAATCATTGGTTTGGAATGACAGGGAGCACAGCTACTCATTACATGAATAACCAACCATATGGTTAAAATCACTGACAGTGGCACAAACCTTCAGAAGTACCTAAATCAAAAAGAATTCCCTCTAATCTCTGTCCAAGTAAGGAAAAAAAAAAATACATATGTACAATTCATTATGGTATTCCCTGTAGTCTTATTAATTAATCAGGGAAAACAAAATCTGCAGGACCTTTTGGACTTAAAACTATCATGTAAATGATTGAGCTGGTGAAAAAAAAACCCTTCAAAATAGACAAATAGTTGTATTAGCTCTTCTGCAGAGCTTTACTCCACCGTGTAAATCAGTGTCTCTCACTTCCATGTCGTGTTTCAGAAAGACATTTATAGAGTTCTGAACACAGAGGCCCCTACCTGTTGATCCTCTGTTCTTAACCCCGCTTGTGTAAAAGGTCTTTCATCTCCCTCCCGATCAGCAGTTGTTGGCCTCTTTAGCTCTTCCTCGTATCTCAAGGAGCTGGCATTTTCCATTTCTCCATCATATGTCTCATCATAGCAGTATATAGCTTCAAGAATATCATCATCGGTAGTGAACAATATAGTATCCCCAAAGTGCTCTGGAGCTGAAGGCAACACACAGCATTAAACGTAGAAACCATACAAAAGAATATATAGAGTGATAAAAACTATTTTCGGTCCTTCTTTACATTTAATTTGCAGTAGTGTTTAAAGAGAATATATGGTAAATTGATACTGACATCTGATATAATTAGTATGTTCATTCTCAAACTTATACTGCACAGCAGAAAATCCTAGAGAAAGCCAAATTTCAAATACATATAAAAGAAAACGGGGAAAAGCTCCTCCATCACCTTTTCCAAAAGACTCTATCTGTGAAGACAAGAATCTGCAACTGTTAAATGTTTAGTGGCTATCTGATGTTATTGAAATATGGCCTTGTTGCTAAGACATCGTTATGAATTGGAATTAGCTCTATATGCTGCAAAAATTGACAGTATCATCGAAGAATGCATTAGTGGGTTCTGCATTACATTTTGAAATTAAAAGGACTAAATACTATACAAAGTGCCAGCTTGCTTTGAAGTGGAAAGTGATAACAAACAAGCTAAATGTATTTTTTTTGTATTGTACTGCTGTTTCCACAAAGAAAATAAGAAATGATCGCATACCTCCAGACAACGTTCCCGAAGCTTTCGCAATTTCTCCCTTAAAGATGCACTGTTCATCTAACACCATTATAATGTCTTTCACACCTCTGAAAGAGTGTATGCGAGATTTATTATAATTCCAAATCCTAATCATTGCTACCTGACAGGAATTTGCAAAGTCAATAAAGATAAAGTGAGGTTTTCCGGGGGTAAATGGTGCTAGCCAGAGATGCATATCATCCTGTGTCCGATTTACCCCATCAATTAGGTTGGTTATTATTCTGGGATCGTTGCCATAAGCTGGTAAAATATTTATATCAGGTGGTTCAGCTGTTATTTTTGAAATCTGAACAGGCTCTCCTTTAGAACTGAAAACTTCAATTCCGTTAAGACCAACATAATGTCTGTCTCCCCATGTTGTTTGAATGTTTATCACCAAGTGCTGTCCATAAGGTAAAACAGGAATTTTAAAATCATTTCCGTCATGTGCCTCCACAGAGATTTCTTCTTCTGGCCTTTTTGGCAGTGTTTGTAGTCCCTCTTTTCTCATTTGCTGATATTCTCCAGGCCGGTTGATTTTCTGTTGATGGAGAAACTCATCAAAGATATCCCCTTGAAAATCCATGTTAGAGATTCGGCCACGATGGGAATAATTAAACTTTACCAGGGAATTCCAGGACTCCTGCAGAGTGTGTTCTTGTTCATTGTGCCACTTTGCTCTAGAGGCTGCTACGTCCTTGATAGAAAAGTCTTCATCTGAAAACAACATCACGTAGACATTTAATGTATGAACAGGACTAGAAGCAAACCACCACAACATGGATGTTCCAGAATTATGCTGGTCATATTTGTGTTGCCTCACTGTGACATTCTGTTATAGTAGCACTATTATATTGCCTCCCTATTACGAAGGCTAACGTCCCAATTGCCCTTCTCCATTTAGACATAACGAAAACAATCACTTTTAACTGTTGAAGAGCAGAGCACACCCCAAGATGCAAAATGCAGCTAAGTTTCAGACTGCGAATTCTTTGCCTAACACTTAAAGAAATTGGGATTTTTTCCAGTGATACTTATGTGTGGCTGTCACAATAGTTTAAATCACCTGTCTGCACTTCTGCAGAAGATCTTTCACACAGCTGGAAATGGCTGAATTAGTTAAGTTTCTAAAGAATTATAGAGAAAAGCCAGTGCTTTGTGTCAAAACCAGCCACGTGTATATAAAGAAAACTGGTGAGAAAAGAAGTAGGTTCAGCATACAAGGAGGATGAGGTGAGCATTGCATTCTATGCAGGTAACGTACAAACTATTTTTCTCTCTTTTCAGCTAGTGTGAGATGTAGAAGGGGAATAATGACAACGGATCTAACAGGAACACAGTGGGAACAACCAGTTAGAGGGGCACGGTGGGATCAAAGCATGCTCTCCTTGTGACTGCACTGGGGAGCTGCTTCATTTCCATCTCAAAACAATTAAGAGCAGATAATAGCAAAGATTTTCAATAAAGCTGTCACTTATGTATTTTCTTCAAACAAATGAAGAAAAGCAAGCGGAGTTCTAAACAATTACAGGCCCATGGGCTAGATTTTACTTCTGTACAAAATCCTTGAGTGGATACTAAAACAAATGGTTATCAAGAGTAAATGCCAATTCCTGTAAAATGCAAAATAACATTTTCCCAAAAGACTGCTCAAGACTAACTTTTAACTTTGTTTTTTGGAAATACCGGGAAAGAGGCAATGTTCCTAATCTACCTATGGACAATAACTATTTACACTGGGGACAAGGGAGAAAAAAATAAGAATTTTAAAGCAGATGGAAGACTACCTGAAAGAGGGCTGCCTTCCAGAATGCAAGGCTGGAGACCAACCTGGCCATTCCTCCCTACCCCACAAGGGAAACACTGATAGGAAGCAAAGGTACGTATTTCAGAGAACATCAGACATTTATAAGTCACTTTCTTGTTCAAACCATTGTCCATATGGATACTCAGGGGGTGGGAGATCCCAAAGAGCATTTCCCAGGGCCTCACAATTTATAATACCTGATGAAGATACTGCATCGCCACTTTACAATGTCAAACTCAACACTTTGAAATGTCAAAGCTTGAAAATTTCAGGAGGAGCATGTACAGAAGTGCAGTTGACATCCACTGGCTTTCTTTGTTTTGGAGGTTTTTTCCCTTTTTTTTTTTTTTAACTTTTTTTAATGTTAAGCGCTTCAAGCAGTACAGAGATTACAACTTCTACAGCAGTTCAGTAGGATGATTTCCAATGGGAGGTTAACGGGCGCGTTAGCTACATTAAGGAGTGACACCAGAAGTGGAGCTCTGAAAGGAAAGCAGACAGCGGGCCAAAAGTAGAAGTCAAGGGCTAAAGGCTTAGGGGTTTGGCATTTTTTTTAAATCTAAAATTCATTATTTTTATTGGAGCCATGTGAACAATTAACTCTGCCTGTAGATAAAGAGTATTCCACTTACAGATATTACAGACACATTCCCAGCCTTCCACATCCCTGAGAGGATTGATGATGGATGCTATCCCAAAGTCCAGAAATAAGGACAATCAAACATGCATCTCCCCTGTGGCTTTAGGAGGGTTGTCTTGAATTAACCAAGTCCCTTGTCCTGCTTCTGACGGCAACACACACCATACAACTCCTCTCAAAACTTCAGTAAACTGTATTTTGGGGCAACACTAGCTTGAAAAAAACACCTTTCTTCTCCCTCTGTTGTGTTAATCTCATTTTTACTCCCTGCAGTTATAAATAGCAATCATATTTCCATACTGCAATCACACGCTTCATTTCCCAAATCATTCTGAAAGCTCTCTTCTGTATCTGTTCCACTTTGTAATCAGCTTTCCTGAAAATGGATGATCAGAACTGCAGTTTTCCAACTGACATCTCACGAGTGCCTGTGTTGAGATATTAACATTTCCCTAACTAACAGAAATGCCTCTGCTGATACATCCTTGGAGTGCACTGCTATAATCACGCCTGCGTCACACCAGCATTTCATAGTCAATCTGTATCAACTACTCAACCAAGATTCTTCTCTTCCTCAGTCATTTGCAACTGACGATTACTCAGCTTACAACTTAATTTTTTGTTATTAGTCCCCAAATGACCCTGCAAGCAGTACGATTGAATTGCATTCCATTGCTACTACTCCAGGGCTCAAGTTCATCTTTCTGTGCAGTTCTTCAATCTTCTTAACTCATAATACCCCAAATTACATCTTATTTGCAAATTTTATCAGCATACTTTTATCATTTCCTTTGCACGTTAAACCAGTTTTCAAAGAAAAACTGTATGTTTTTATAGCAACATTAACTCAAGCCAAGTACGTATGTACGTGCTATTTCTAATGTCTGTTGTTCTCGTTATTCCTCATTTAGTGACCAAAGGTGTGCTGTGACATTGCATACGAGCTTGTGCAGTCTCCCCTTTGGCACATACTGCTACTGGGAAACTGCAGCTCCCCTAGTCCCGTACCGATTAAAATTCCCCACTCTTAGGGAACCACTTAAAACTGTTTCCCTGTCGTTAATGCTCACTCAGCTCCACTTTGAAGATGGCTTTACCCTGCACAGTACAGTACAGAGAGAACAAAAGCTGATAGATGGCACGCAGCTTTCCCAGGGACAAACACGTATTGGGAGTTTTAAGCACCAGATGACAAAACCTGCTTTGGGCAAAGTTAGAGGAAATTATCACTAGAATCATGATAACCCCCATCTTATAGCTTACACTAAAACTCTTAAATTGTTACAGTTTTTACAACTGAACAGAAAGGACTAAGGTGGGATTTATTTACAGTTCCTGTAACGTCGACAAGTTTTTCATCTAACAGAGTTATGGTAAAATGTGTGAAACAGCAAATGGGCTGCAGTGAGTAGGTGGGTGAAAGGAAGATGGCAGTTATTCCCACTGCTTCCCCACTTTTTTCTTCTTTGAGGCATAATTTCAGATATATAATTGCTGTTTTCTCCACAGAGGGGCAGAGAAAGAAAAATTCAGACATTCTAAGTTTAATAAGAATGATTTTCCTCACCTTTGTCCAAAAACTTCATGCAGTACCTGCTGTAGAACTGGAACTGGCATTCCTGCATTCAGGCATATTTCCTGTCCCTTATGACCATAGCTTTAATGTAAATACCCAAATGCAATATAGAGCAAGCTACACTTTCATGTAAATTTTTCTGATGCTAAATTAGTCCCAAAATTTCAATTTGTATTTCTTTCTCCAATTCTCTGGACCTTGTTGTCCTTATTCTGCCAGACTCTGTTCATTTGAGACAAGTTATTGAATGCTGAAGAATTAAAGAATGCCAAAGAAGGGCTATGAAGGATCTAAAACGTAAGAGACAGAGTGACACATGGCTCGAAACTGAAAGAGGGAGGTTAAAAATATATCCTGAGCAATGGAAATTCAAAAAAAAAGTTGGTTAAAAGCAAGACAAAGTAGAACTTCTGGGTAAGAAATTCTGTTCATGTGTTATTTACAGTTGTTAAGCACAAAAATATTACCCCACACTCAGAAAATTTCTTAGCCATAGATTGCCAGAGTTTGGGATTGAGCAGGAACTTCAGAATTTGTGCAATTCTCATTCTCCTCCCTGGGGATACACTGTTGGCTACGGCCAGAGGCAGAACAAAACTACACAAATCTGGCTTCTCCACCTCCAACAGGATCCAGACAAACTAAAAAAGGTTTGGAGAAGGATGACAACGAGAAAGCAAAGCATGGAGTAGATAACAGCTAAATTCACTAGAAAACTCCATAAATAAGCAGAGATGTCTGCGGGAGAGGTTTGAAAGAGGGATGCAATGACACGAGCAGAGAAGGGAAAATAAGGACAGTTTTCATTCACTCTGAATAAATATATTCAGCATATATTCTCACTGGGAAAGACACAAACCTACTATACAAATAAAAACCTACTACACAAATAAACTGTAAATTTACTCACTACCCTGTGGTCCCACTTTATCTTTTTGCAGATATTCACCAACATTAGTAAACATTTGCTGTCTGCAGGACTGTCAATTTTTAGAATAGAATTTGCTGAAATCTTCTTCAAATAAATTATAAGCACTAACTCAGATTGTAAATTTTTCAGAAGAGCATTTTGCATCCAGGTGTAGGACGAGAGAGACTCTGAGCATTGTTGTAGCGTGAATGAGAAGAACTGAATACTACAAAAAGCAAAACTAAAACCTCCCTTGTCTATACCTCCAGGAATCTCAAGAGGTTTCTTCCCACCTAAATGATTCTGTGCTTCTGCAAAATGGAGACTATGTCTGCACTTGCACTAAGGTTGCTGTTGTCACCTCTTACCTTTGAGAGCAGAATCATCACCCCCAAGATTTATAGTGTTTAATCCTGCCTTTTTTACACATCTGACACTTCTCCTTCCATTTGCAGGGTGCTGTAAGCTGCAGCAAATTTTGTTAGAAAATTGTTCCCAAATGTCCAAGCCCGCATCACCATCCTTTGTGGTTAGCAGCTGTGATCTCTCATCTCCATTTGCATTTCTACTACTCGATCTTCCCTGCTCATTTCTTCGACATTTGACATCCTCATTAGTCACATCTGAAAAGTTTTTCATGATGCCATCTGACTGCGTTTGAAATCTCAAGTCTGAACAATGTTCTGTAGCAAGCCAGGGAGGCTTCTGCTTACTGGAAGTATTTTGATTATTCTCTGTTATTTGGGAAGATGACTGTAACCAAGAAGGAATTGCACCTGTAGAATTAGACAACTTTCTTCCTGTTAGTTTTTCCATTTGCTCGCTCAACGTGAGTTCACCACCAGATTGAACATGCTCTGTAGCTGCTGGTACTGTTGCATTCTCTTTGGCATCTTTTATACAAACTTGAGACGGCAACACTTTTAGATCATCCTCCAACTCTGACAGTTTTTTCTTTGTAAAGCTGACTGAGTTCATCTTGTGTTCAAGAAGATTTTCTTCCGGCAGAGATCTCCAGTTTAGTGAAGTACTGTTTGACTGCAAGCACTTAAAATGTTGGTCTGCTTTCTTTTCCGTGACTGCAGGGGCATTTACTTCTTTACTTTCATTTGAAGAACGTGTAGCGGTATCTTGCTTGTGATCTGTAAGGTCAATTGTAGTGCTCTGGTCAGTGAGATCTCCAGAGGCTCTCTCTAGTTCACCATCAAATACAAGGTTCTCATCAACATATAACTTCACGTTCTTTGCTCCAACATCAAGGTCCTATAAAATAAAAGCATGCAGATTTCAATTATGCTGTTCGAGCATTAGATATCACTGTTCTGGAACTCTGACATTTAACCAATAAACATATGTAAACAATTAAAACCCCGTATCAGTATCATGCTTTTGACCACTTTTTAATCAAAAGCTCAAACAACTGAAAAATACTGTGGAGTTTTTAAGATTTTATTTAATGGGACTAAAAACTGTGCTAGACGCTACTGCGAACCATTTCAGTTGACAAGGCTTAAAATTTAGAAAAGCTTGAGCAAAGAATCCTAGATTAAGTATAATTATATTTGATCAGGATACAAACTCCAGAGGTACGTTTTGCTTCAGCATCTTTAAGATTCACCACTTTCATGCCATGTTCCACAGCAAACATCCACCCAGATCAAAGCCACTTGAGTTAAAGACAGTAACAAAGAGTTATAGAAAAACAGGACTGGAAAGGACGTAAAAAAAGCATCATCAAGTCCATTTCTTTCCACTGAAGAAAGCAAAATAACCTATACTATTGTGAAGAAATCTGGTTTTAACAGTTTTCAAATAATCTGCCTTGATAGCCTATTCCAACACTTAACTAGCTTTTATCTCAGACACAACTCTGCCGCTCACAACGTTATCTCTAAGTTCTCATTTTCTGTGGCACCCACTAAAACCTCATTTTTTCATTCCATTGAAGCTGGAACTAATGCTCTTTCTATTCTCCTTATCATTTCCATCTAACCTTTTCTCCCTCTTGACAAAAATACTGGTATCTTCAAAGAAAATATAGAAGATGAGACGAAATCCGCCTCCTTTCTGTCCTCTGCATAACGTGTCCATCATGTGGAGTCTTTAAAGACTCTCTGTTCTTTCCTTATTTTCATGGAAACTGAGAAGTTTTTCATGAAAAGTGAGAAGTTTCCGTTTCATCCCTCTTGCTCATCTCCTGGATGTCAGTTCTCCAGGAATACTGATTTAAATTTTCCTCTGCTCCCAGCCTAAACCAGTTACTCCTTCACCTTCAAGCACCAGTGTCTCCAGTTCTTCACTACTTCACGTGCTCTTTACAGCTTACAAGTCTTTAGAGCTTCCTTTCTACTGCTTTCCAAATAAGAGCATGTATAAGACAAAAAATGTAATATGGACCTAGAGAGCAGGAAACCCAGAAGGTGCAGGCATAAAAAGAAAGCCGCAGTTGAGGGAGGGGAGTAGGTGTAGGAATGCAAGACACATTCCTGATAGAAAAAGATAACCTTCACTAACTTCTCAGAGAACAGCTGTAAACCCAGTTTAATTGGCCATTATGTCATGGCTGCCTGTGTTACTCCTAGAGTATCATAAAGCACTATATGTCTGTACTGATGCATTTGGCCATAAAATGTGATATTTTTTCCCCCTTGAACAAGGACACTGCTAGATTAACATAATTGGGGATCAAAACACTTTCATAATTATATATATTAGAACTAACTAGATGGCTTTGCCTGAAATTATGATGGGGATGAGAAAGACTATCAGGATGCCCAAGTAATGTTATTTTTTGAATCTCTGTATGTCTGGACTGTTAATGTCCTCCTTAAATGCTAGAGATATTGGATATTCACAGTTGTATTTGGGATAACTGCAACATTTCTACATGACATCCTGGCCTCCACTGCTGTTAGGAATACTCAAACCTTAGTTCTGTATTTTTACCTGGGAACAGATATAAACTGCATGGAACCACAGAAATATAAAAGTGTATGTTTGGAAAAGTATTTTTCAGTTGCATCTTTTAAAATTAAAATCAGCAACCTCTTAAGGACAGTACGTTTTGGAATGAATCCTACCAGTACTGGAGGAGGACATGTAGACTGAGAAAACATCACAAAATGAGATGGTGGAGATTATTCTCCCTGAAAGAGGGACAGTCAAGCACAGAAAAGGGTCAGTCACTTCAAAATTACTATTCCACTCAGTGTGAAATGACTTCCCATTCTCTGATGTTTTGGAATGTCTGGGACAGGCATTGTAGGAAGCAAAAGAGGTGCTCGGACTGCATCAAGATGAACCAGCCAAAGGTACAGACATTTCTAGGACAATAACGACAGCTGAACATGGGCAGGCATTAATCATAAAATCCCAGGCTGGAAGGGACCTCGAGGATCATCTGATACAACATTTCTTGGCAAAAGCACGGTTTAGACAAGATGGCCCAGCACCCTGTCCAGCTGAACCTTAAAACTCTCCCACGTTGGGGAATCCTCCACTTCCCTGAGATTCTTCCACTAGCTGATTGTTCACATTGTGAAAAATTTTCATCTTCTGTCCAATCAGAATCTCCCCAGGAGTCACTTGCACCCATTACCCCTTGTCTTTTCCATGTTACTCCTTATAAAAAGGGAGTCTCCATCTTCCTTGTACCCACCCTTTAAATACTGGAACATGGTGATCAGGTCTCCCCTAAACCTCCTTTTCTCAAGGCTGAACAGACTCAGTTCTCTCAGCCTTTCCTCACAGGGTTTCCCAGTCCCTTGATCATCTTCGTGGCCCTTCTCTGGACCCTCTCCAACCCACCCTGGGTTGATGCAACCCAGCATCCCGTTGGCTTTCTTTGCCACTGCAGTACCCTCTTCACTCATGTTGAGCCTGCTGTCCACCGGGACCCCCAGGTCCCTTTCCACAGAGCTGCTCCCCAGCAGGTAGATCCCAGCCTGTGCTGCACTCCTGGATGATGTTTTCCCAGGTGCAAGACCTTACACTTGCCCTTGTTGAACTTCATAAAGTTCTTGTCAGCCCACTTTTGCAGCCCAGCCAGCTCTTCCTGCAGGGTGGCTCTCCCTTCTGAAGTGTCCACTTCCCCAGCCAGTTTGGTAATATCAGCAAACTTCATCAGGCTACACTTGATCCCATCACCCAGATCACTTATGAATACATTAAGTGGCATTGGGCCCAATATCGATCCCTGGGGGACCCCACTTGTGACAGGTCGCCAGTTTGAAAAGGAACTACATCCCACCACCCTCTGGGTCCCCACCCACTGCACAAATCACTTGTCTAGACCATAACGCATCAGTTTTTCTAGGAGGAGGCTCTGGGGAAATGTATCAAAAGCCTTGGAGAAATCTGGGTAGACAATGTCCAACCCTCACCCCACATCAACCGAGCAGGTTACTCTGTTGCAGAAGGTGATCAGTTTGTCAAGCAGGACTTGCCCATGGTGAATCCGTGATGGCTTTTCCTAACCACATGCTTTATTATTGGACTTGTGACAGGTCCCAGAAGGATTTGTTCCATAACTTTCTCAGGGATTGGAGTAAGACTGATGGACCTGTAATTTCCTGGATTCTCCTTTAAGCCCTTCTTGTAGACGGGGTAACATCAGCCTTCTTCCAGTCTTCTGGGATGTCCCCCTATCTCCACAACTTCTCCAAGATTATGGAGAGCATCCTCACAACAACATCAGCCAGCGCTCCTCTAACACCCTCAGGTAGACAACCTCAGGGCCCATTGATTTGTAGGGGTCAAGCTCCTGTAGTAACAGCTGATAGTTCAGAAGAACCATCTATTCATGAAGAATCAGTAGAGCTGATGAAAATCTCTTGCACCAAAATGCTAAGCAGACTGAGGCTTAGGGAGGAAAAATATGATCTGATCTCAGGGACTCCAAGAACAAACACATGCAGACACAAGACTAAGAACTGCTCTTTTTTATTCCCTCCCACCCCTCTTCTGAGCTTCCAGTTGCTTAGTGATCAGATGTGGTGGGAAAGACTGACAGAAATGTTAGCTTCCCTAGTACCACTGCTGAAATCTCCTCAAGCATGGGGAGGTTGGAAAAATTCCTTCCTCCTGTGTAATTCCATCAGGAAGCCACTCTATAAACAAATACTCAATACTTCATCCAAAGCAGGTCTTTCCGGAAAAAGAAGAGTAATTAGAATGGCACAATGTCCAAGAACAAGCAAATAGGTATGATCAGTGTCAAAGAGAAAAAAATGAAAGATTTTGTGCAAATAATTCTGCAGTTTCTCTCAATGTTCCTTCCCAGCTTGCATCTTCAGCCCTCACAGAGTGCCTGCTGGGATAGTGCTTTCCCGTGAAGCAACAACGATAGTATTTCTGGTCATTTCAGTGATATTTGTGCACAAAAGACAAAGCTTAAAACCAGAAGCACTTTTCTGCAAACCTGGACAGAGGACTTGAAGTTATCTCTGCCCGACTTCTCACAGAAGTGTGAAAAAGAAGGAGCAATAGAAAAGTAGTCAAGAACTAGAAGGAAAAAGTTCTTCTATAAACCAAATTCATCTGGAATAAAGCTGCTACATCCTTAAAAGCAATGCACCCCAGTGGGAGTCCAGCACTGAAAAAAATCTCCAACTCAGAAAGAGAATGGACACGAACATACACACGGGGGAACAACGCATATAGGGAATTGCTTGAAGAAGAAAATGATCCAACTGGAGAGCAACTAAGACCTTCAGGCACTGAAGTACTACTGACTGCACTCATATATTTGTGAAGACAGACAACAGACATTACACTAGATCCTATGAAAAGTTTTAATAGCATCAAGAAAGAATGCCGTTTCAAGGCTGTAGCAAGTATTTACAAAATGTCTGAATATTTCAGACATTTGAAAAGAACTGGCTGCCTTTACTTACATTTGATCTCTTCTTACAGACTAAAAATAACCTTCTTTTTCACAGACCTCATTTGAAGTAAATAAAAGCAAGATGAAGCATTCTCTGAGACCTTCCTTGTAATTCAATGAATCAAGGAATCTATGACAATGATGTAATCCGACTTTTACAGCTTCCTTCAGACATATTTTTTTCTACTGCCAGACTCAGGCTCTAAAACTCAAACATACAAAAGTACTGGCCTCTTTTTTGAAGAAGTACTTGGGGACCTCTCACTTGTTTTTGATGGAGAGAAGGAGGTTTAAATGATTACCAAAAAAACACACAGAAATCTGCCTCTGGATTTACATTAGCAGGAAGAAAAATGTTAGCTAACTGTATTTTGGGGTTTTATACCTCTCAGACAAAACTTCCTCATAAAACCCCATAGAATTAGGCAGAACTGCTTTGTATTATTCTTTCATCTTAAGGATAACGAGACATTTCTTTAGTCAGTGAAGACAGATGCACTGCCACCAAAATCCATGGGATTATACTCCAAACAGATTTTACAGTTTGCCTCATAGAGGTTTATTAAAAAACAGTGCCTTGAAACACAGAAATACATTTATGTGTACTTCCTGCACTAAATCCAATAGGTTTGGTAACAAATCGTGTTATTACCTCCAAAACCAGCAGTTCCTCTTGCACTCACTAATGATGATGGAACATTCTGTAGCCCACATTTTAATAGAAAAAGCTATTAAAATTCCAGAAAATAAATATACATCATGTTATAGTAAATTTGTTTAAGCTGTCCTTTCCATGGCCATTTCTATATGTATAAATTACCATATCTGCTTATATAAGAACATGGATGAGAGCAAAACCAGAGGGATAAAGCCTCTTATTTATAATCCAGGACAGCAAATCCCCTTTGATCCAGTACCTGGGATTTTTTTCTTAACATTGCAGTGTACAAACAAGAATAATTTTCATGGCGACATTCAAACACACAAACAAGAGACCATCTGCCATGAGATGTCTCTCTTGTAACACAAGATTACTTGCTTTATTATGAACACACAGTTAGTATACTTTTTAATTAAAGTGACAAAACTGAAATCGAGCAACAGCCTGCCTATTTATTCTTATATACATGAGAAAATACATATTTAAACATGTATTTATTTATACTGTGATAAAACAACTGAAAGTCCTGAATATTAAGATGCACTTACCTTTGTATCTTTATTTCTCACCACAGTAAAGGATTAAGTGACAGAGAATGCAAGCCTTTTTTTAGGTCTTTAGAGATTTTTAATAGCTCTGAAAGAAAATGCTCATTGTGCCTATGAAAATGTTAACACTTACATTGCTGCCACTTACCATTAAGAGAAAAGCAAGTTTCACAGTAGACAAGGACCCCTCCTAGCTCCCTATTTTATTAGAGAAAACGGTATCTACTTTTATTTCCTACTTTTGGAAACAAGATCGAACTGAGTTTCCCTAGGCAAGGCAGAGCACACAGACAGAGGAGTTGAGAAAAGATTACTTACACTGGGAATTGTTGTGTTGTAATTCCAAATCTTGATCTTGGATAGACCAAAGTCACGTGCCCGGGTGGGATTGCGGATAACGAAGTAAAGTTGGACGGGCGGATGGAAAGGGCACGTCCAAAGGAAGCTTTCCTTCGTGATCTAAAAAGACACAGAAGCAGACTGTCACTAATACCCTTTCTCCTAAAGCAGGATATTTTAATTAACTCATCACCCCACAGAAAAATATATCTCGATTAGAAACATAGGCATTTAATAAAATACTACATTAGGAGCAAAACCTTAACCTCATTTCCAACCAGGAAATCCGACTTTCCTGCCTGTAAGACGGCTCACAACCACCTGACAATTAGATAAAGGTCAGCTGCTTGCTGTCCCGGTAAGACATCTGCATGCTCACAAATGACAGGCAGTCTGCCATGCTTTGTAACTGCAGGGTCAGAGCAAGCCCAGTCTATTTTAATCAAATTAATCAGCTTTGCAGGCACTAGAGGGGATCACTGAGCACAGTGGACACTGTATAATCATTTCATGATTTTTTGAAGTGCTTACACTTCAGAGGAAAGGAAGGCTCAAGCACTGGGCAGAGGAATGATGCGGGTCTGAGGGTTCATCACTGAAGAAACACCTTTGTTAGACATTTCTAGAATTAGTTACCTGTCTTTGTTATTCCGAGGTTTAAAAGACCTATATATATATATGTATGTAAGAATCTAAAAGGTTTACAAAAAACAATTTCAACGAAATGACTAATCGGTGTCTTATTAAGCATTATATCCCATCAGGCACTATTTCCTTAGCTGAGAGCACCTGATGTTCTGCCAGGCATTTTCTTCTTTTACAGCATATCACACAGTACAAGGGAGGAGGCAGTTTAACTGCTCCTCTTGAAAGTCTGCAAGGGTAATAAATAAACTAATAAATAAATAAAATCCCTGATCTTCAATAAGAGTATGTCTAGTCTCAAAGTCTAACATACATCGAAATGATCAGAGATGGAAGTGTTTTAACCATGGTAAAGTGAGCTTTCCCCAGAGTACGTTTTTATGTTGTTTTCACTGTGTTGAAAGTATTAGTTGCTTGCAGATTCATTAATTTAAGGGTTTTTTCTAATGCACCCAAAAGCTTTGCTGTATGATCTGAAATGTACAAAACCTGGAAATGCTGCTTTGACTTCTGAAGGAGTCTGAAGTTCAGTTATCATATACCCACACTCTAAGACCACATTCCCTGTCCAGATTGCATCTCCTCTCACACAATACCTTTCCAGCTTCAGGAGAGATTACAGTGTCACAAATCAAAGAAATATATTAATCAATGAAATATTAAACCTCATTACTTAAGAATAACGGGACATATAAATACATGAGAAATGCTGAGAATAACAGGTTTATAATGGATTAATGAATATATTACTACATAATTTATAATTATCTAGAAAGTCTAAGAGTCACTAGAGCTACTACTACCGAGTGCCATCTGCCAGAGAGCATGGCCTATAAAGGAGAATGGGTATTTATGACACTCAAAATATAATGTTCAGGAGACAGTAAGAAAGATGTTTCAAGTAAAAATATTTGTCTGGAAATAATGCTTCGTATTGAGTTTCAACTAAATTTCAAAATACTGCATATTTGCCTTCTTTCTGTTCTCATTCATCCTGCAAGCAGAAAAGTACCCTAGCATGAAATATTAATTATTACTAGAAAATATTATTATTTTATTTCACTAGAAAATAATATTGTATTTTACTAGAAAATAATATTATATTCACACTGATTTTTTTACTAGAACCTTAGCTCTGAAGGCCCATGGAGACAAAGGACACACAGTGAATGTGCAGCACAACTGAAATTATGTGTGTCTGAAGGACTATGGACATTTGCTAATCTTTCCAGTAGCATCAGAATTTCATACCAGTCACTGTCTCTTGTCCATTGTCTTCAGGATGTAAGCACCTCGTGTCTCCTCATCTTACTATCTCACAGAACAGCCATGAAACACTTTTACCATGCCACACATTTTTCTTAATCTCTTGTTCAAATCTATCTACCTACATGTTCTTATTCTTCCATGATTATTCCCTAGGTAAAAGGATAAGACAGAGGCAGGAGAAAATAAGTATGTTTCCTTCTTAAGTTTACTTATACTCATATTAAACATCTGGAAGAAATTAGCATTTAGGCTCCTATACCTGCAGATCACAAGAATTACTGAAGTTTATCAGCAGACATACTGTCAAAATTGTGAAATCCCCTGTCCTTAAAGTTTTGTGATCTCATTCTACAGACACTATGATTACATTACAATACTCTAAAAACCGAGTGTGTTCTTTCATCCAACACCACAGAGTTAATACATAAGGAGAGAGAGTTAAAGCTGCCTCCTTCCAGTTGCTCAGTTAAGTCAGGCAAATTAATCCAATTCTGTTCTAAACCAAAATTATAACTGAATACCAACATCTTGGACAGGAAAGCTGGATTTGTTCATAATAAGCAATATTTGTATTTTTTTAAATTATCAGATTGTTGTTATGCAAGTCAGGTTCCAAATGCAATCATGTTTCTAGACAAAAAACCCAGTGATAGAATATCAAAGAAATATAACGAGAAATGTTCACATCCAGGACGAAGCTATCTTACATTTAAATTCTTATTGACCAAGCAGCACAAATCCCCTGGGTTGTCAGCATTTCGAATGTCCACATCATGAGGAGACACAAATATCTTTTCGTTGTATAAATCAAAGAACTCCACCTCGCTCAGGCCCACGTTTACTGGATTTCCCCAGTTAGAAAGAAGTTCCATAGTTACATAAATGGCATCACGTACTTCCGTACTGGTTGTCATCTGGAGCAAAATGAAATACGGCATAAACATAAGTGACGAAACAATAAAATGTGGACAAAATAAAGGCTGCTAAGACTACAATATTGATGAGCCAAAAGCAAAACGCTTGCAAACTCAAGCCTCTGTGGATGACATTCAATCATTTTGGGTTCCACCAATTCTGCCCCACATCAACTAATAAATCTACAGCAAGGGAAGAGAAGAAAACTTATCATCCTCTTACAAAGCCTAAGGAGAAAACAGCGCTCTCTTCTTTGTCTGAGTCCTTTGTCATTCTGATGAACAAGGGAATGGTAATAAATTCTCTTCTCTTACCCTGCCATAGGTTTATCAGTTGATGTGGGGCAGAAGCAGTGGCATACAGTTCATTCAATGTATTTTTATTTCAGAAATAGTGGGAAGCATCAGTTATGGTGCATATAAACACAAACCTTCTCTCTCAACATGGAATCTACTTCCCATTTGTCGTCAGGCAGGAATATGTCATTATCACAGGCAGAATGGCTCTCAGGCTCGGGAAGGACTTTCAGAAGTTTCTTCTCTTGTCTGGAACATACATATTCATTTATGTGTCACTTTCTCATAACTCTTGTATTTTTAAGAAACGGTTTAGTTGGTATGAAGCTGAAGAGACGATGGGACGAACCCACACACCCTACAGAAGAATCCCACGTACCCCCAGAGTGAATGACAACTGTTGCAGCATCCCACCCTAGACACACAGAGTTGGGTTAAAAGACTGGGCTCCAGTTCTCAGCTGGTTCTGAGGCAGTCTGGGAAAGTAATACATAGGTGCCACAAAGACAAACAGAGGGAGATGTCGGCAGTTCCCAGAACCACAGAGACTGGCCCAAGGCTGAAACCTTCTCCCTGATTTGCTATTATTTGCATGATGTCTCAAGTATCTAGAGATTATCAGGTGTAGTGGTACTACACTACACCTGGTGGTATATGGAATAAAACCTCTTCAAAAAAGGTAGCTAGCCTTGAAGGAGGTATATATATATACCTGCTTCCAAAAGGACAAATTCTCTCAACATCTTTTGTCACTGCAGTCCTTGTCTTCCTTTTTTCTGGAGGTTCAGCCATTGCAGAAAGAACAGACGAAACAGAAAATTTCTTCTAAGTAAAAAAAAAAAAGATTAACATGTTTCATTCACATTGTTAACACATGGATGAATATCAATCTACATCTCTGGAATAAATAAGCTGAGCCCAGCTCTTCACTAATCTGTAACTCTATACTAAGTTAAAGCACATTTAACAGAATTGATCTTGATTTGCAGTGAAATATGTGAGCTTGGAGCTTGATCTCATACGTGGAAGAAAAGTAATGTAAAAGCATTCTCTGATGATTATTTAAAAACATATCTACATATATATATGTCTGAAATCTCACTTGTATACATTTGGTAGGACTCAGAGTTGGCCAAAGCTTTTGCACAGGTCTGCCTAGACTTCCTCCTTCTCCAAAAAAGGATCATACAGACTTTTAAACCCCAAAAAGCTCAGTTTTATTAGAATAAAAATCTTGATTTATTTTTTCAAATATCAAACTATCAGTAGTCACTATCTAACAGAAAACAGAGGAAAAGTCCTGCAGTTCTTACAGTGCTATGGGTCTTTCTCTACCCGTACCCCACTTTGTAAGTATATCCTGCTCCCTCTGTTAATTTTCCTAAAAATTTGTTGATAATTTCTGTCAGAGACACAATACTCAGCACAGTGAACAGATAGTCAGATGAGGAATGGCAGTCCTTCTGTTCTTAGGTCACTTCCATTTCTGTAATTTTTGAAGAGTAGGACTTTAAAATGCTTAGAAGTTAATTACTTTTTCGGTATTAAAAATTCTGCATTGTTACATGTTTAGATACCAAAGGCCAAGTTCCACATTCCCTTAATTGTGTAAGAAAAATTAAATTACTTCTGGGAGATCCCTTAGGTCAGCTTTAAGACTGAAAACTCACAGTGGGTTTCTGAAAATCCATCTCAAGTGTCAGGGTAAAATTACATCTATTTTAAGTATTTTCTTATTTTTCATTTAAGCACAACAATGTTAAAATTAGTCCCTATGTTAGCAAGAAGATACCTCACGTGAGAGTATTCAATGGAATTTGTTCTCTCAATCACAAAGCTATAAATACCTCAAAAACAAGAGGAATAAGATTGAAAAGTTGACCTAGATGGTGAAATTGTATGTAAAATACTTATCTATATTAAAAGAACATTTTCACCTTTGCTTCTAACCAAAACTCCCCAGAAACCTAACGCTGTCTCAGCGATGACGCTGGATATATATTCATCATAGCACCAACTCACAGCTTCAGGGAGCATCAGCTTAGGTTAAAGCAGTCAGCTGTCTTACAAACCCAGAATTCAAATGAGTAACTCCAAGAATGTCCAGGCCTCCCTCTTTTCCTTCCTAGAAAAATGAGTCTCCTAAACACCAAACTGAAAGCAGACTTTGAGCCCGTGAACGCTGTCCGTATCGGATAGTTTTGTACATCTCAATTTTTGCTCAAATTTCTTTATGTACTTTATTTCTGTTAGGAGAGCTGAATTATTGGTAATGCTCAAAGTTTAGCTAGGATTGTTAATACAAACCTCCTTATTCTTTAACTCAACAAGGAATAATGGTCTGACCTGAATCAGAAGGGAATGGATTTTTGTTGTTTTCCTTGTTGATGAGTTTTTAATTGGTTTTAAGCATGGTTGTTGGAGCTAAGAGATGTACATGCACTGGTGCTGAAAACCCACACAAGCTCCTCCTCACTAAGAGCTAACAGTGCGTGAGAGCTCTGCTCCTAAAGCACAGCGTGGATTAACGGGGAGCAGTGCCCATATTAATGAGTCCAGTAGGAAGGCAGGATTTATTGGTATGGAAATCACACATTATCTTGTTTAAGAAATTTCTAGAATGAAAATGCCTCAAGCGGGCCTGCAGCTGTGCATTTGACTGTATAGACATATCATGTGACTGGTCTATCAGCTGCTCAGTGATCCCTGAAATCAAGAGAGAGTTGTGGGACGCCAGCCTGAGGAAGAGGATTAAAGAAAACCACCGCGTGGATGAATAATACAAATACAGTTACACTTAAGAGGCATCATCATTCATACACAATCTTAATGTAGAAGAGATTGTAATTCCTGGGGTTTTGCTATGCGATCTACCAGCCCTCTTCTGTATTTTGCCGTACCTTTTGAGGGCTTGTGGAAACTGTCTGCCTTTGCAGATCTCTCTGCAAGACTTCATTTTCAATCTGCACTGCTTTAACCACAGCTGAAACTGAGAGATCAGGATCCTTCTCGCACACATTCTTTCGAGTTGCTGAAAGTGGTCTTTCTGGCCGACTTAATGGTCCTGCCACCAAAAGAAGGAAGGCATATTCATTCGTGCAGACATACAAGTATGGAACGTTACAACAGCATACATTTGAAACATCTGATTGAGTTACTGACACAGGGCTTTACTAGCAGTCTGTAAGCATCCCAAGTGAGGCTGAATTGCTCCAATTTGTTTTTATATTAAGATTCCGAGATGTATCTACTGTAGACAACAGCTGAAGCAGTATCATAAGAGGAGGGAAATGGATAAATGAGAAGCATAATTTTTATGCTTTAAGATTTTTTGTAATTATTTTGTTCCAGTATTTAATGGAAATGCCTTTCAACAGTTCATTGAAAAAGTATATATCATTTCAGCACACCAGAATTTTTCAGTATATCTGGGGTGTTCAGCTATTTTGGAGGAATCCCCAGAGTGTTCTAGCAAAACAAAGGGAGTCAGGAGTTGCTATTTGCAATGCAAAATAAATGACCTTATCACTTAGGTAGTCATCAAAATGCCCATATGCATCCCAATCTTCCCAAACATCACAGACAAATAGAAACATCACAGCCTATAAACAGGTTTAAAGGAAAGGAAATAAAATTTAACGACAGAGGATCTGAGATTGGACTAAAAGAGAAGCAAAGTGGTTGTATTCAAGGACTTCAAAAGTCAAGGGAAAAAAAGAAGCTGGAGTTGTACAGACATTTAGATCAAGTGAAAATATGGATGAACAGGCTCAAAATGCTGCAGTGAGGTTTACTAAGCAGAAGAGTAAAATGGTAGGGGATGTTACGAACATGAAGTCTACCTTGAAAAGACAGGAGGCTAAAACTGAACTGAGATTTGCGTGCATTCACACCCCTATCCCATTTATACGCAGAGAAACTTGCAACAACCATTGGTCGTCTCTGCAAATACAGGACAGAATAAAGTCCTTTTTATTTTTCTGTACTATACCATCCCCCTGAAATGAAATTAATTTAAAGGTTTAAAATTAAGACAGAAACAGCTCTAACAAGCATTATTATAACCTGAGAAAATGCTACACACATCTTTGGAAAGTGGTCAAAGCAAGCATCTGCTCAGACAGATGGTTGGTGAGGGTCTCAGAAGCTACAAAGAGGATTTATTCTGAAGCCAAAAAGAATTAGCTTCTTTTCCTCAATTTGGTTTTCTGCCAGTTAAGAAACTAATATTTTGACTTTTCAAAATGGTTAGCTTTACTGTTTTCTTGGGACACATCTGGATTCTGCTCTTTTGAAAAAAGTGTGTTAACCACAGAGTATGATAAGTCAGAAAACTTCTTCTCAGACCTTTCAAAACTCAGGTTCATCAGACTTGTTCAATTAAGGACTGTGCTGAAATAACAACTGCATCCATGATTTCAGCCCCTAGGTTTGGGCTTTAGTTTTTTTTAGCCCAGGTGAAGACCATATCTTAGCAACAGATTTGTAGAATAAGCAGCAGTGCCTTCAAAATGGTGTTCTCCAGTCCAGGAAAATACATTTTCCAGTATGGTACTAGATACCAGCACATCTTACCCCATCACTGGAGACAGATCTGCAGTGTTCAAGGTGTAATTCGAGTACAGGCCCAGGTAGCAACAGAGCTAGTTTTGCTGTGCTGTGGAAAACTATGCCTTTACTGCTATAAACGTGTGTTAAAATCTTCCATCAAGGTGTCAGTTGCTGGTTCTGAGAAGAGGCACTTCTCTTAATACCACAGGGAACAGAACTCCATGAGGAAAGTGGGAAACACAGAGCAAGCACAAGGACTGAAAGGGAGAGGGAAAAGTCTTATGCTGTAGAAGGAAAAAGAAAAGGAATGTAGTAAAGATGTAGCAGAAGACTGAAGTATACAGACTCTGGACTTTCTCACAATTTTACTTAAGTCAGAACACTCAAGGTGGTCAAAACAACAAAAACCTGAGAAAAAAAACATCAAAAAAGACAACAGCCAAGAAAACTCATGACAAGCGTACTAAAATTACATCTGAGCCAGAGGAGGAAAATGCATGAAATCTCTTCTTATTGAGATTATATATTCTTATTTCTTACTAGAACAAATTCTTTCATGTCTTTCCTGGTGCAAGAACTCAGCAGATAGTGGGCGAGTGATTTTATTTTTTACCAATATCGGTCTGACAGGAATGTACATTTCAGCATTATCTTTTCTTTTTGCCGAGAGAACTCGCAGTGGCTTCACTTCTGCAAGATAATAAGGGAACATAAATAATCAGCTTCAGAGATATTTAGGAGCAGTCAGCCAACAGAAAACTTATGGGATCTTAATGGCTAAAATGTTGCCACTTTAATTATGCTGGCATAGTTAAAGTGATAACCTTCATCCTCCCTCCCTTTCACTGATACAGTTCTATTGATGTAGAAATACACATGCATGGCTTGCACAGGCTTTAGTGAAACAATATAAAATATATCATTATAAGGTACCAATATAATTCATCTGTACCAGGTATTTACTTGCGTTACTGTCAAGTAAAGCAAAAATAAATAAGAAGTCCTGAATCACTTATTAACATCATTATACCAAAATAAATTCTTAAAATATAGACTAAAATCTTGTCTTATTTACAAGTTTCAAAGAAGGAGAGGGTTGCCTAGAGTAGTTCATAAGAGTATTTCTTCACTTTTTTATTTGATACCTTGATTTTATCTAATACCTCCACTGTTTGCATCACAGCTTTGAAATTCTCTCTGGAAAAAAACCCAAGTACTCTCCCCAATATCTTCTCACTGCTGCTCCATCCCTCGTTCCTATCTCTTCTTTTGCCACCCCTCCCCATTCACACTCCACTCTAAGTCCACACTATGACAATGAGAGGAACACTCCTTTACTCAGTTTGTTCAAAGATTGTTCCTCTTAAGTTAAGCAATTACCTATGGATAAGGAAAAGGAAAAAAAAAAACCAAACCACCAAAAAAAAAACCCCAAACCCCAAAACAAATCCCCAAACCACTTAATGTACCTTGAAATAAGTAGGAAGTGAATTCTGAGAAATACTGAATTCGGTCTGGTTTCTGCCTGAACTCTCTACCTTCAACAAGCTAAACATCTTTGAGACCTAGTTGCTGGCTTTGGGCTTGGACATTGAGGTCTCCAAAGGAGAAGCCCTGACGAAGTGTCTCATAGCCAGATAGATTTGTTTTCTCCAAATAATACACCTTTCATCAGGGCTGAATAGCACACGCTATGACAACAAGTACCCAGCACACAGGATGGGAAACAGAGGAAGTTGAGACTGGGAAGATGTGGCCGCCTAGATTACTGCAAAAACAGTTTAAAAATATACTAAAAAAAGTAAATATCTCTAGAGAAATCTCAGACAGTTTGAGACAATCTTAGTTCAAGTGTTTAGGCCTGGTGACATAAGTGCATTAACCAGGGTTACATGTTTTGTCTTTGCAAAAAAAATTCTTAACATAGTAGTAAGAGGATGCAAGTCTCCCAGATCAGGAGATTAAAACAATAGGTTTGCTGAAGAGCATGAAAACTCATGAAAGTATGGAGTAACCATTGATGATTAAATGGCAACAATTCCCTTAAAAATAATGCAATCAAAGAATCATTATTATTACAGTACTGTGGTAGTATATAATACACAGAGACTTACTACTTTGGTCCTGGTTGAACTCCAACACAGTAAGGCCACCAGAATCAAGGCCAGAGCATCTCCCAGCATCCTGATGTTCAGAAGCTTCTTTCTGCAGTGACCTACTGCTATGCAACTGAAGGCCTTCAAAGCTTGTAATTGTTTCCTCAGTGGGAGATGGTTCTGAAAACACATCCTCCTCAACAGAGTCATAATCATCACTAAGAGAGTCTTCTTCCATCCTTTTCTCTTCTATATCGAGTTGCAAGCTTCTCAACTTCTGGTACAATTCAAACAGATTTGTTAGAAATAAGCTAAACATGTATTTTAAAATAAACTCATGTGGGTGCTTCTTCCTCCCCTAGAAGAAAGAAAAGGCTTCTCATGAAGTCAGAGACATGATGCAGCTAAAAATATTCACATTCCTATGTCATGTCTTCACTCCTCTGATGAGGACTTGTAAAGAAAAATCATCTCCCAAGTCCTTTGTTCCTTCTCATCAGAATCCTTGCAGGAAAATTCTACAGGCCAAGGAATTTTTATGGGCAAAACCAATTTTGTGGAATAAGTTACAAATAGGAGATAAGTAATGGAGAGGGCAAGGGCATGTATTTTTTCAGTCTCACACAGTTAGATAACAATATCTCTTGGCTTGTTATTTGAAGACTAGTTGCAATCAGATTTTCCAGATGCCTTCACAACGCTGCAGAGCTAATGCAATAGCAACTTCTTTATAAGCAATTGGAGAGATGGTAATTGTCTTGGCTTGTACACACCTGTACTTCAAAAAACAGTAAGAGTTGGGGTCTAATGGATTAAACCTCCAGTTTGCAGAGATTTTTCGAGTGCAAAAATGCATTTATTTTGACATTTCCTGTGGGAAAAAAACTGCCCCACCTCTCTGAGCATATGCCACAAACAGCATAGATGATGCTGGAGAGCCTTGTGGTTTTATGGATTCAAAAGGACAAGACTTTGCATACCTTAAACGCTTTTTTGTTCCTACTTTTTTAGTATTAGAGTTTGGAGACAGGTAAGCAAACTGTATGAGTAAAATGAAAACCTGAATCTATCTTAGGTGCAAATGAACTGTGACAGCTTATGTGCAGTTTGCAGTGAAAGCTTCAAGCTGCTCTTCTGCTACAGATTACACTTGTTAGGAAATCCATGTTGACAGAAACATATTACAAAAAGCAGGCAAACTGAGGCTCAAAAGAGGGTCTATAAGCAACCTGAGGCTTGATACTGAGCATGTCCTTATGACAATCAAGACTGATACTTCTAGATATTTGACAGGGAATTGTACAGGCTTTCTTTCAGTTTGAAACCTCATGACATCTGCATTGCAACAAGACATTCAAGAAAACACATTATAGCTTCAGGAAAACCAAAAGGAATTCCATCTGGGGCGCAAAGAAAAGTGAGGGCTTGGGTTAAAATTATTAGCTTATTACTTACTCAGAAATTATTATAAATATCACTGTAAACAAGTTACTGGTTTGCAGAAAAAAAAAAATATTAAACTCAAAAGCAGCATAGGAAAGGTAGAGAGACACAAGCTAAGAAAATATACTTGGGATGTTCATCTGATGTCAGTGGTAAGATCTGTAGACAGTTTCATATATATAGGCTACTCCACTACCCAGAAAAGCTTTACTGATGTCATTAATTGGTTAGACAGAAAACCATTCACAAATTTATGTTCATTTACTCATTTTTTTAAGGAAGGGATATTTGTGAAGTTTTGTAGAACAAACTGCAATTAGTACCCAAATGGAAGGCTGAACTGTCTAACAATGGAGTCAACATAATAACGACCATCAATAGAAAGCAGTTGTATTAATTAAAATATTTTTATAACTTCAGTCTTACTTCTGTTAGGTAAAACAATGATATGCAACAATTTTAGCACAATTATTCAAAACCTAACCTAAACCCAGAAAGAGTGGTTGTTGAAGCTTTTTCTAAATTGACAGCCAAGGTGACATTCATGTGGACAACCATTCAGTAAACTGAGAGAATCTCCTTACATGAAACACTTTGATTCTATCCAAGAGACAATATGCTACCTCCTTAAATTAGGATTTAACACGTTATAGCATTGTTAACTGAGATTAGATTCTCAAAGTGGTTTTACTTTTTCTTTTCATTTTTTTCCCTCTTCATGTCACATCTCATCAATGCAAAAATCTAGTGAAGGAAACACTCCACACCGGGTTTGCACGCTCTAGACATGACTGATACCTGGGCACATTCACATTTCAGTTGACGCTACCATGAACAACGGAAGTCAATTGTACCTGGGAGCAACAGAGAGGATCATCACCACCTGTTTCCACGCTCAAGCTTTCGTAAGGTTCAAAATCCTCCGAGTACTCAAGAGGAGGTTTAATGCAGAGTTTAGCTCCGCTTTCTGTTTTAATCTCCACAGTTTTCTGTTAAAAGAAGCATTCAAAGAAATTACAATCCTCTAGCTATCCAAAAAACCCACTGGAAAAATTACTGGGAAACTATATTGCTGTCTGGCACAACCTGCATCTTACTCAGTGGTTGCACGTTTCCTTAGCTAAATAAATCCAGTTGTTCATTAAGATACTGTAACTGCTATCCTCCCATCCAACTGGACAAACGACTCATTCTACGCTAGTCTCAAGTAGGAGGTGGTTTTCAGTAGAGCTCCCTATATCTGGCTAACTTTCCAATCCAGAGGAGATACCTCCTTCATTTGGCTCTTGTGATTAGAATGACGCAGGTTATGACCAGCCACACATTTGGCAAAGTTAGCCAACAAGCAGTGATCTACTGAGAGAAATAGCAGCTGGGGAAATGAATTCAACTAAGCAGAAAGGGTGATAAATAAAGTAATGCAGCCTTAAAACTTGAATGTACAGTATTTGCTGAAAGAAAAGAAAACCTGCATGACAGGAACGCTTGGTCCCCAGTGACACAGAGCCCTGATCCCCAGTGACTCAAGCACGGACTGGACATCCAGCCAGGGCAATCAAGTAGGGTAATTATTTGGGTGACAGGTCTCAACTGTTCAGAATTCACACTCGTTGCGTTAAGTCATACTCCTTGGCACATTAAGTCAGATCCCTCTTCGGGTCAAAAAACCCCCAAACAACCAGACCAGTGAGGTTTCTCCAGTGAACCAGCAACTATGTAGCTAATGGCTCCAAATCTCTTATAGGCAGGGTATTTGTTACCTATATGCATTTTCCTCTCTTCTGATCTAGATGAATTTGTCCCAAATTACAGCTTAAGCTATGCAAATTACACCTCCGTGTCCCTTAACGTATTGCAGGGTGGAGAACAGCAGTGACAGGCAGGGATGTATCTCCAAAATGAGGTTCGCCATCCTTTGCACTCCCCAGGCTCTCTAGGCTTGCCATCACAGACATCAAGCAACAGCTATTTGGCCGGAGGACAGATTGAGACAATCACGTCAAGGTTACAAAAGTTTCTGTGATGGATGTCACAGAAACGAGATCCCTTCAGTGAGATTTCCCTCATTAGCTTCAAAGTAGACACAAAACTGGTCAAGGTATCACGTCGCATTGTTACTCAGTGTCCAGACCAAACCAAGACTCAGCTTCTACAGGAGTCCCAACTGCCCGCTATCTACTAGTTGCGACGAATTTCCCCATTTACAATCTAAAAATTAGTTCAAGGATCCATTCTTTCAAACTGTTTCTTACCTGAAGCCAACCTCTGCGTTGTATTTTGCTTGGTGCAGTCTGTGTGCTGCGTTCTTGCAACTCACTCTCTTCTAGCTGGGCTGCTTATTCACAACACAGAGACAAGAATTAGAAGACATAAAATAGAAATAAGGTATTTGACAATACACATCTTAGTTCACATTCTTCTTTTTTTTTTTTTTTTCTTCCCCTGATGAGGACAGAAGAGCAAGCCTTTGACATGGTATCAGCAACTGAAAGGGCATTCCACTTCAGCTGCTGGCTGGCTGTGTATTAGTAGCAGGAGTTCTGAACCTCTTTGGGGACAGCCATCATCACGTGTATTCAAGAGAATAAATTGTTTAAAGATACATTAGCTTAACAGCAAGGGAATCCCCCCCCATTCATTGATATGAAAGTATAGAAAAATGTTCTAGAACAGGGGTGCCCACGGTTCTAACTCCTAGTTGGGTGGACAGTAAGCTGTTTTAGGAAGCTAACTGAGCCCAGATCCCACACTACTTAGGGCAGGCTGATAGACAGGGTCACTGTGAACAACAGGTTTACAAAGGGTTACAAAACACTGGGTTTACAAAGGAATTGTGTGTATTTACTCTCAAACTAAGGAGACATAAGGTATTGGCAGATTAAACGGAATGTATTAGGTATGTAACATACCGTGCAGAGAAGGATTCTTCAGGTGCAAGTCATGAATGAAGGACAATCATTTTCCTTTATTTCTAAGGCAAGAAAGAGTTGGTTCCAGAACTTCTGCAAAAATTCTGTGTATGGTCAAGGAGAACTAAGGGTTCCTGTGCTGGAAATGGTTCCAACTTACAGTGGAACAATGGATTTTTGAGAAGATGCTTTGACTGAGACAAAGAGACAGACACCTTGCAGGTCACATCAGCATCCTCAATGGAGCAAGGACATCACCAATACTCTCAATAGCATCCTAAATAAAAGGCATCTCATTTCCTATGTCCAAGACAGATTTACAGCTTCCAATTCTCAGTGGAGAAAAACAGCTGATGCAAAACCTTTTTTCTTTAAGCCATAATTTCATGGTCACCCTAAGCCAGCAGAAACTGGTACTACCAATAAAAGAAGCAGTCATCCTACAAAGGTCATAGAATCACAGAAAGATTTTGTTTGGAAGGAACCTCTGGAGGTCACTTAGTTTAACTTTCCATTCAAAGCAAGGCTTACTTCAAAATTAGATGAGGTTGCTCATTACAACTCTCAATAGCACATTTTCTTTTTTGGATTGGACAACCCTACATGCACCTGTGCAATGAACTGTTCAGAGAATTGAAATGGGCCAGTTTTAACTGAGGAAAAACACAAAAGAAAAATTTCTTTTAATTGTAGTCACTTGTTCAATCTGGTTCGCCATGACATTGCACAAACACTGGTACAGGCAGATAGAACGGGCACATGGTAGGACTGATCTTGGGGGAACGGTGTGTGCTTATGTCAATTTAGAGTGATCATAAAATTGCAGAGCAAGAAGAACAAGATGTTGTTCTGTTGCTTCAGCACAAAGTATCTGTCTCTTGGGCCTGAAATAGAACTAAGAACGGAGGGAAAAAGGAATGGACTGCTTCAAGGAAGAAACACAGCCCTTCCAACCAGAGCTCCTGCTACTCCAATAGCCTACTCCTAAGTAACTCCAGAAATACTTTGCAGTTATTAGCATTGGTGCTGATTGCTACAGGGCTCTTCTGGCACTGAGGGTGAACTGTTCTGAGATTACAGTGCTAGAAGCGTGGTCTGATTCAGCCACTACTGTGGGACAGAATTGGAAGCATCTTTCACTTTCTAAGCAATCCATCTCTCCTAAGTAACTGCCCAGACCACCATTCCTGTAGGCTACAAATGTAGAAGAAAAAGGGGGCAGGGTAGGACTCATGCTGCCACTGCTGAGTATTTGGTTCTCAGTATTTTGTTTGAGTATTTTGTGATGGATTCATGTGACCAGGTCTCTCTAAACCAGGAAATAACAGTAGTTCAAATCCCAGGCAGAAGTTGATGCAGCTGAGCTACTCATCTGTGCTACAAACACTACTTTAGAACAAAACCATCCTTCTCATGGGGTAGACAGGATGTGAATACCAACCACCTGCTTCAGCACACAAAACGGGTCCACTGGTGTCATTCCCTCAGGGACTTGAGCTGACAGTGCCTATTCTGGTAGTCGAGAATGGAGTAGTACATCATCAAAATATTAGTCATAATCAAAGGAGATGCCACGCTACCCTTAAGTCATGTCTTTGAGACCACACCAACATTCACTGGAAGTACACACATGGTTGTGAAACTATGTTTGGGTTATACATCCAAAGGAATGACAGTATACCTAGAGATCAGCTTCACTACCTTGTAAGCCCATCATTTACTTTAATTCATTTACCAAGCCTAAGCATAAAAAGTTTATCAATCACTATTATCACGAATTACTCCTAGGGAACATAGACAAAGAAAAAAGTCCAGATAAATAGACTTATGATGACACTTTCAGGAACCACAAAGAGGGATTTGTGCCCATTCTGTATTATTAAGTATCACACATTCCTAATTTTTCAGTGAAGACTAATCCTACAGATAGATGCTTTAGAAGTAATAAATGATGCAATAACTCTCATGGGAGATGGATAGGGAAGACAATTCAGTGCTGTAGCTCAGCCAGAAATCATTTCTGTAAGTAAAATCACATTCAGTCATTGAGAAGAAATGCCCAGAAATGAAACAGACCACAGAACTGCCAAGGTACTACCCCCAGGCAAGAAGCTTATACAGATCACCAATGACTCCCACTCCAGACTCTAGTGGCAAAATCAAATGGAAGAAGAAAAATGACAGGATGATGATTCAGTTGATATCTTTCACTGCAGCTACACGTGTTTAAAATAACAACACTGGATAGCTAAGAAATGGCAAAACACCGAGTTCCCTTCCGCAGAGATAATGCTACCAGCTCGAAGTTGATGGACTTGAGGTCCCTCAGACAAACTGAAGTATTCTACCTTAACTGAATCAAATGGCATTAAGCGACCATAAAAATAAACAAGTTTGGTTAAGCTTAACAGTAACACCCGCACAGCAGAACTTTAAGAGGAAATTTCTCTTGATATGAGTTCTCTTACAGCTGCTGCCACAATATCCCTGCACAATTTTGGGACCAAAAAGTCAAGGAGACTGTTTTACACCCTTTTTAGCTACCTAAAGGTCTGTCATGCCAGTGTGGTAGAGCTCAAAATTTCCTTCGTTTTCCAAAATCCAAGAACATGAACTTTTTTTCATCATTACACAAAAGTTTTTACTTTCATACAGAACAGCAAAACCTAGCTGATTCCCCATCACCACCCCGTATAACCTGCCAGAAATTATACAGCAGACAGATAAGCCTGAATGCACTTAAACTTGAAAACAAATAGTGTGTACCCAGCGTAGCAGGAAAACAAAGAAAGAAGAGAAATCAGGATTAGAGTCATGGTTAGAACAGTTCCTGAAAGAAAAGTCCGTTTCCAGTATTGTTGAGATTAATAAACTTTCAATCTTAATAAATTATCTTAACTTTTTGAACACTCTGTCTTCATTTTTAGGAGAAAATAAAGGTTAAGCAGACATTATCTACACAGCAACACATTAAAAAACATACACTCTGAGATAGATAATAGTAAGAATGCTCTAAGATAACAGACTAAGGTTGGTAAGCTGCTTTCCACAGGAATTTAGTGAAATCAACTTTATTTTCATTATGTTAAATAGATTAGAAGGCCAGTAATGTCACACTTTATACCTTCATACATGCAAAATTATTCCTGTCATTACATTGCTCTCTGTGACTGACAGATTGAAATTAGAAACAAAATACACATTTTCAAATAAAGCCAGACAGTCATTGGCAGAAAATGGTAGATTTTCTTTACTTCAAATATTTAAATAAAGATTAGCTGTCTTCTTAAGACAACTATTAGAGCTTAAACATAATTTATGAGCTTAATGCAGCTATTACTGCATATAATTTGATTATAGTATGTCAGTGGTTCTCAGCCTGTGGCCTGTGGCCCCCCTGGGGGGTTGTGGTGTTGCCACGGGGGGGTCTGTGAAGGCTTAAAGCAGGGGTGGGAACATCCAGCCTGGAAACATTTGGTCTTGCCCGCAGCAAGCACTGTGCCTCCTCTCCCCACAGCCCCCTCCCCTCAACGCTCCTCTCATACTCAAGCCCCCCCCCCAGCCCTGACACTTGTATATTCAGTGTTAGTAAGGCTGGTGGGAACCACTTTAACGAGGTGGTTTTTCTCTTAAAGACATTTTCTTAACCCAACAGCCCTCTTTAGAGCCACAGCTGGGCTGAAGTCTGTTCCTCCAAATGGTCGCCCTGGACCCGTAAACAAAAATATCCAGTGACTGAACACAGACAAACAAAGCGGGAGGTGAGAAGAATTGTAAAAACTTTTCATCGAATTTTAATGTAAAAAGTTGAATCAAATTTGGAATTAGAACATTAAAATACCATAAAATGGGCCATTTGAGCAAGAAGAGTGTTGATGCTATTATTTTAAATTCATATGGAATCATTGCAATAAAGATAATAGGAGTGTGTGCATAAACTGATTCTTTTCCCTTCTCTTCAAACGTGAAAACCCTTCATGAGAAAACTGAAATAGATATTTGATGTAGTCTACCTGCTTTAAATCCTGAATTAAGTCTTGGTGGTCCGCAGCCACGGAAGGTATTTAAAGGTCCGTGCTGAAGGAAAGGTTGAGAACCCCTGGTCTATGTCATCAAATGTCATTTGTTTACAGGACACCAGACTCAGATAACATTGAAGTCCATCAGATTTTAAAGCCTATTCATGGGGGTATGTATCAGACAAAGGTGTACCATCGTTTTACCCTGACAATTTATATACATTTTGAATCTTTTAGTTGTGACTGTTGAACGAATGGAGAGGTAGGGAAGTTAAACTTTGAAATTAGTGAGGGATCAATTGAGAAATCGATAGGGTGTTGCAGGAATCACTCCTTACACAGACCAACTTAAGTACTCTGATGAAAGAGTCCCACGGAATTTCATTCCACCAAGCCCAAATGCTGTTGTCTCTTTATCACAGCCTGACCAGTAACCTCACTGACTGAATTACAGCTCCACTGAGTAAATGTTTAAAATAGTTCTAGACTGCAATCTCTGTAAAACTCTCATGTAACTCACCATTCGTCCTGGTGGTCTTTGTCTTGTTTTTAAGGTAGCCACATGAGTTGATTTTTTTGCGGTAATTTCTCAGCTCTGAATTAGCTCCATTCAGATACAGAGAAAATCCTTGTTCTAACTGCTCCAGTTTGATCTGTACAGGATCCTTTCTTTTTAGACGTCCCAGTAGCCTGAAGTAGAAAAGACAGTAATTCATCCTTACTCAGTGCATATACAGATGGTCAGATTAGCAATAAATACAAAACCACACAACGTCACAAAGCTGAAAAATATCTTCATAGTTTAAATAACAATTTCAGAATACAGCTTCAGGACTTGCTCCTGTTCTGGAATGTTTGTATGAGTACCCACATGCTGTGACATGCAAAGTTAGATCAAGCCTCTCCTTTTTGAGATTTTTTTTCCATGTTGTTTCTAATTTCATGGGGTTTTTTTCCATTTGACATTTAGTATATTTAACTTTTCTTCTTGAGAAGTTTTAAAAGTTTTACTCAGAATTTCAAAAAGCTTTAAAACGGTTGAACTCTTTTCAAGAAAAAAAAAAAAAAAAAAAGGTTATTTGTGTTTTGAAACTTGAGGGGGAAAGCCCCCCAATCAATAATGCAGTTAGAGATACCAGGAAATTAGTCTGGTTAAAAAAAGCACCCTTCCCCTGACTCAGCGTCACTGAAACACCTACCCTCCCTCTTCCAAGTCTCATCTTTCCTCCCTTCCCCGTGCGTTATACTCAGTCCACCCTAATTCCACTGGTGAGGTGACATGCAGGCCAGGAGGTTGGGGTCATGCGGGTGACAATTTCTGACTGCCTCTGCAGGCTGCTTCCTGGTTTCCCTCTGACTCCAGGGTGGGTCAATCCACGGGCCAAAGTCCCCAGGGGTGTATCTGTTGTGACATGTCACCTTTACGCAGGTGTGTCCCCAGCCATCCTCTAGGCAGCAGACCTCTGCAGGAGCACCCACCCCCTGCAGCCACCACTCTTAAATCCACCCCAGGCTGCTCCGACTGGTGATGTTTTGGCACATGCTGGGCTGTTTCTGTTAGTTTGGGATCTAGCAGAAACAGCTGTGACTGGCCAAGGGCGGCACCTGACCTGCTCCCACACAGGCTGCTCTGCAGCCCCCGCCGTGCCCATCCATGAGCCTGCCTCTTCTGCGAGGTAGAGTGCCCACCTGCTTGTCAGGTGTAATTCTCTGGCATTTGTTTCCACGAAAATTCAGAATTAGAGCTCCAATAATAAGGAAACAAGTTGTTTCAATCATTAAATAATTTGGTTTTATCATTTTCTAAAACTGCTTTAGGAGACCATATACAAAATAAACCCATAGAATTGGTAGTTCTAACATAACTGTGGCTTTTGTATGATTTTTTTTTTGTTTTTTTCACCAACCCATTCAATTTGTAATATGTTGAGTAAAATCTTATGGCTTGTTGTAAAGGAGGGAATCCAGCAACAACGTTCTGCACCCCTCTGAATTAACCTATTAAATTCATCTGTCTACGGTATGACAGGAAGGTTCACAGGAACAAAGATTAAAAGAAATGTTTTATACTTGTCTGAAAGGTACTGAAGTTTGCAAAAGCAACCTAGATGTCCTTATCTCCCATCTTAGCAGAATCTAACTTTACACATTTAACTTCAGCAAATTTTGCATACAATTGTCTGTGTTTCCAACAACATAGAAACCTAGCCTCGCAACATCATCCTCATACAGTGTGAGCTGCCAACTACTTCTGAATCTAGACCCTCTTGCCCTATAAACAAAAATCTTCCCTGTCAGCCATGGAAACAATAACTATTTTGTTAATTAATTTATGTACCTTTTAAAGTATGCTGAAGAAATACTGTGACCTCCTCCAGAAATAAGAACTTCGATGTACTTAGCAAAGAAAGGGAAGAGAATCACCTGAATACTTTAAGACATAGCAAATCACACTTTGCATCACAAGTTTAAACCCCAAGATTTTAAACTAATATTCACAGCTGCTGATATTAGATACTGTATTAGACAGTACACAGCAGATATTACATACTCAGTGGTGGTAATAATTCTGTATCATACCGGTTTCTCTGCTGAAGGGATATTAAGTATTCATCATGTTTTTCATCAAAGTTGGTCAACATGTCCTTAATATAAAGCTGAAATGAGAACATAATTGTCACACTGAAGTATAGAAATGATTTATTATAGAGTACTACTGGCTTTGCACCCTCAATAGACAAGAATGCTATAAACTGAAAAAAGTTCCTCCTTCAACAAAGCATGAAGCTGACAGTGTGTCAAATCAAGTTCCTGAAGAACAGAGGAAGTGTTACTTGCTTTACTTATTTTTCAGATCCCTTCACAAATTACTGAAAAGCCTAAAAATACAAAAAATGGAAAGCGTATGTTATAATGAGTTTATAATCCAAGAACCGACAAGCAAGTCAATTCTGGGGCACAAGCTGAAAGGGTCATGCCCAGAGCCCAACCGAAGGACGATTTTCCTGAATTGCTACTGCTCGTAAGGTCAGTTAGCTCTAGAATTTAGTCACTGCAGAGGCTGTATACATTTAAAGTGCTTAATTAAAGATTTTACCTTGCTTGCTTTTCAGGAAATAGGAACTTTTCCAGTAATTCCCACAAAGTATCCCAAAGTTGCTGCAAGTTGTGACAGAGTGCCCTGTTATAAGCTCGGAAGCTTAAACTTACCACCAGAACGTTTAATTTAGTTCTGTACCACAAAGAGAAACCCCGTATTTTGTCTCTTACCGACTACAGTACCTCCGCCAACACACCGCCCCTTCCCGCGCCCCCGCTGAGGCCCCGCAGCGCTGGGGCGGAACTGACAGCTCTGCCCAGCGCACAGCAGGGCCCCGGGCCCGACCCCCCTCCTCGCTCTGCCTCTGCAGCGCCGGGCTCGGGAGGAACCCGGGGACAGAGCCCGCGCCGGACGGAAACCCTCCGAGGCCGGGCCGGGCCAGGCCAGGCCGCGCCGCCCTGTTTGCGCGTTGCCGTGGTTACCCGTCGCGCTG